TGATATTTGGTTTTAATCGCTATCATATCGGTGAAAAAGATACCTTTGGTAGATTTTCATGGGAAAAATTTCATTTTTAAAATGATGTTTCTCAGTTTGAAATGCCTTTCACCAAATTTTTAGTTTTGTTGAAATTTGAGTATTACATGTTCATTGTTCCTACAGTCAGTGTATTCTTGAATACTAACCATTTTCAACAAATGAATTTAAAATGATCCAGTTGAAAGATTTTTCAATAGAAAATTTTAGTTTTAAGTTTTTTTAATGGCATAGATAGATACAAGCTTTATAGGTGACTTTTTAAAAAAAGATTTTATTTACTTATTTTTATAGAGGAGGGAAAGGAGGGAGAAAGAGAGGTCAAGAAACATCAATGTGAGAGGGAAATACTGATCAGTTGCCTTTTGTATGTGCCCCAAGCACCAGGGACCAAATCTGACACCTAGGTATGTGCCCTGGCCAGGAATCGAACTGCCAGCAGAAGGGCACCCAACCAACTGAGCCACACCAGTCAGGGCTGTAGGTGACAAATGATTTCCTTCATAAGAACTTTTTTTTGAAAAGCACTAACTTTTTCATTGTTATACTGTCTTCTTTATTTTATATGTGTAAAATTCAGGTATTTATTTTTTCTAAATCATCGGGTAAATACTCCTCAGGAACTTAACCACACACACAAAAAAACAACAGCAAATATGTGATAATTTTCTTTTTGTAAAAGAAAACTGTGTCACATCTTTAAATTTTACAACTTTTGAAGTGCTTTGTTTTAAGATAATCAATGAAAGTGATAATAAAAGCTATCATGATCATTGTTATCTCATTTCAAGTACTGTAAATATTTTAGTGTATTTTAAAGGCTCTGTTTTTATAAATTAACCAAATTAAAGACCTTTTATGTTTTTGCTTTGATTTGTTACAATAACTTGTTTATGAATGAATATGACTATGGTATTCTATAATTTTACTCAGAAACCTGTATTTTGTTAAAGTAAGACTGATAATGCATAGTACTTCTACTTAACACATATTTCCATAAAACCCAATTTTGATTTAAAAAGTTACTACTGAAAATATATCTTCTTTGGTACACTTTTCCTTTCCCATCTCTGTGTGAAGAAGCTTTTAACTACCTAGGAATTAAGATGTTAACACTGCATAAAGCAAGGTCTTTCTCTTATGTGATAAACACCAGAAGATTCCACTGGTAGAGATCTTCAGTACTCTACCAGTGCAGGAATTACCAGGAGAAGGAATTAAATTTATTATGGATTGAGGGAGCTAGTGGAGGCTTTTCAAGGAAAAGCAAGTCTGTGGAAAGACAGTTAGGAAAGGATTTACTTAGGTTTACAGGAAGGTTTAGATAGGTTTAAAGAAAGGTTTAGATAGGTTTACCTGAAGTTCCAGGAGAAAGACCATGATATGAGAAAAAGCATAGGCAAGAAAGTAGAAGATAAATTTGAGAGACATGGAAGGGACCTGACTAGAGAAAGACCTCATGATGTTTAACAGTTGACTGAGTAGGTAAGTAAATCCAGTGGCCTTTAAATGTAAAGTTGGAGCATTAAGACTTTCATCCTGTGGTAAGCTGACCAAGGGTTCAGATCAATTATGGAGAATGGCCAGAACTCTGATCTGCACCTTCACAGACAGGTTCTACTGGCCAGCTAGAGTTCAGCAAAATGGCAATGAATTCAGCGAAGAAAAATCTTATAAAATAAGACATTAAGCCCATGCCACATTGATACCAAAACAAGAGTGAGGCAATGACATAAGATTGAGTGGACATTTCCGAGAGAATTATATGGGGTGGGCATAAATAGGTTTATAGTTGTAAGTATTAAGAAAAAGTTTATTCTTGTATTACTTATTATTGTCCTTTTTCTATATGAACAACTATACACCTACTTTTGCCTACCCCCGTATTTTTAGCACAGTGCATTGGGTATCAACAACAGCAGACAGATGACTTAGTAAAGGATTAGGTTAAAATATAGGTCCAAATCTTTAATTAAGTAAATGTTCTTAAAAAAATAAAGGCCATAGTATGTACATATACTCTAAAAAAGATTGGTTGTGAATCCTACAGTGATTTCAGTGCTTCCTTTTTCACTTTGAAGGCTTTAGATTGAATACCATCCAAAAAATCCACTATACTATTTAAGGAAGGAGGGGACAAAAGATACCAACTTATTTGTTCTCTTTCATCCTGTGCCTTTTAAAATAGAAAAAAAAATTATTTAATCTTTATTTCCTGTCCAAAGCTATTTCTCATAGAAGTGGTCTCCAAAATATGGTGTACTTGGACTCAATAAGTGTGCACACACACACACAAAACTTAATTTATAATTTTTATCTTGTGAAAATGAATTTAAGTTAATTTGCTAATATTTAGTGGAAGGATTAGTGGGAATATAAGAATATAATTTATAGTATGAATATTTATGAAAGTACATACTAGCTGTAGGAAATGCAATAAAAAAGTATGCCAAAATTGACTGTGGGGTAAGACTTGGTAGATATACAGATAGATCATCAGGGCTTTCCACTGGAAATTTCAATTCAGTAGGTTTGAACTGGGCCCTGGGAATTTGTTATTAAATAAGACCTCTAAGTGTTTCTTATTTTCAGCCAAGTTTAGGAAATTAGCAATAGACATATTTCACCATATCTTGACATCGCCCTAAGTCCAGTTATAGGTCCCACAGCGTTAATAGCTATATGATTGGTGCCCCACTTACCCTAACACAACTAAGAAAGATGGAATGTCCAAGGGCTCAGCAGCATTGCTAAAGCTCACCAGTGATTCAGGTGCTCACCAGGGCTAGCATCCACTAACCTTATTTCTTGTGCTTTGATTGGAACAAAAGCCATCTTGAATTTTAGGGGCACCAACATGTGTGTCTAGTGTAATTTAGGAGTTTGTTTACCTCGAGGTTTGAAATTGATGATTGTTTTTAACCATGAAGCTGTTGCCACAGATCATTACTTGTTCCATGTGATGCATGTTTTTTTAAAAAAATAGATGATCAATAACTTTATATCTTATTTTCTGACTGCTGTAAACATGCTGACACATGGAAATGTAGAAATTAATTTATGCTGAGGCAACTGGGTATCCTAAAGTAAAATAGTTATTCAAATTATTAAAATATACTAGAAGTAGTAGCTGTTATTTTTTTAGGTGCTTATTATATGTCAGGCATTGTACCAAGCACTTTTTAATACTGTTTATACTTTAATCCTCACAACAATCCTATGAAGGTGGTGTTTTTAGTATTTTTGGAGAGGAGTCAAATGAAAGAGCACAGAGAGGTTAAGTAACTTGCCCACTGTTTATAGGGTTTGTTTTGTTTTTTGCTTGCTTGCTTCTTTTTAATTTGGGAATGTCCTAAATGACATTTAGATGATACTTACTTTCATGTTTTGAGTTAAGGATCCCTTGACTTCTTTGACTGAATGATTCTTTATCTTGAAATTTGATTTCTTCTTTTGCCTTGCTGTCTTATAAAACAAAACCTCTTATATATTTTAACAAAGAATGTGAAGTGACATAGATATCACTTTGCAATGTTTGAATGATGAAACATGACAATTCAATAAAAGCAGAGTATTTATTATCACTTCGAATATGTAGCGTGGTGATTTATCCAATAAGTAAAATTCGTGACTATATACAGGGGTGGGCAAAAGTAAGTTTATAGTTGTAATACAAATAAATAATACAAGAATTAATAGTAACACAAGAATAAACTTTGTTTCATGTACTTGCAACTGTAAACCTACTTTTGCCCACCCCTGTATTTTATTTTATCCTGAAGCTTTGCCTGTGACCATTACTAATTTTTAATGCCTGAGGACTTTTTTTTTCTGAATACAGAAATTCTGACAGTTGTTTGTTTTAATTGATGTGCAATTTATTCAAATGTTTAACATTGCCAATTTTAATATCTAGTTTTTTCTTAAGGCTTTAAGCTCTATTTATGCATTTAAAAAATAAATTTATTAACTTCACTAGGCACTCAGTTAATCTTTTTAAATTACCAAATTAAATACCCTCAAACATTTTAGAATACAACACTGAACAATGAATCAAAAAGCATAATCAAACAATTAAATCTTGTAAATCTAAATCTGATTAATCAAATTTATCAATTCAGTAAACCAAGTTCTTCTAAATATTAAACATTGCTTACAGATTTCTGTTACATAATTCATATTATAATCATAAGCCTAAGATATCAGATTCTCTAAAAACATTTCAAATATCTTTTAAAAAAATCCCAGAATATGTGTAGACAAATTTTCAGTTAATGCCCAACTTATCGATACATTTTAATCTTAAACCTAATGCAAAGTTTTCATATAGGTTGTATTCATTTCTTCAGCCTGTTATTTCTTCATCCCAAGATTACAAATGTACTTACACAACAAAGTGGAATAGAATGTTCATCTTTTAGCCTTCTACCACATCTAAGATTATACATTTGGGATTGGGGCAGGGCACCTAAGTCTGCCTGTCAACCAGAGTCTGCATTAGACCCCACTACCCCCTTCTCATCGTCAGGGCTGTAGCTTTCCCTGTTAACAGAAATTTATCAGCTCTCACGTAAATTTAAGTGAGCTTAAGTTTTACATTTTTGCAACCTGGTTCTTTTCCTAGAAATGATGCATCCCTTAAGTTTTTTCTTATGTTTTTGCAATGTGATCCTCTTTCTAGAAACGATGCATCCCATAAGTTTTTTTTCTTAGGTTACACTTCATCCCTATAGAATGGGATTTCCTAAGTCCATTTATGTAGAAACTGTGTAACCTTTGGCATTAAAGTCGATTTGTGTACTTCTGGGGTTTTGACACCCTACTTAGGTTACTCAGTAATCCTTTCTCTTTTATATTATAGCTTGCCTCATCGGCCATCAGTCATTTTATTGACAATGATGATCAAGTTTAGTTTTTAACCCCTTTAAATTCATAAAGCCAAAATGATTTTTCTCTCCTAGGAATGCCAGAATCACCTCCGCAGATATGGAAATGTGAATCTGGAACTGGTGACTCGAATCATTAGAGATGGTGGCCCATGGGAAGATCCAGTGTTGCAAGCTGTTCTTAAAGCCCAGCCAGCATCTCAGGAGATAGGTACTTCAGGAGACTCAAAATCAAAACCACCATTTGTGAGAAGGAAACAGTTTAACTTTCTAATTAGAGCAGAAATTAAAACGATTTTTATTTTATAATATTGAGTAAGAGTTATGTATTTTCACATGAAGTGTGTTTAATTTGGTGTACTAACCTGCTCTAAGAGTGACTTTTAGATTAGACTGAGGTACATTTATTTCTAGTAATTTCTCATGTTAATGGAAATTCAGAATGTTAACACATTTACTTGTTCAGAAGTTAGAGAGTTCATTTGTTTTTGTCTCTTCAGTTATATTTTAAAAATCTATTTAAGTAGGAACACCCCTATTAAACAGAATGAAACAAAACTCCCTGCTTAAGCACCTGAGATCTCCCTCATACAGGAAACTGAAGGCTGGAACTGGTCCAATTTTTATCACTACTACTGTATATCCTGTACCTAGCCTGCTGTTAGGTATAGGTATATGTTGATTGACTGAATGACCACATGATGAATGAGTGACTAACTAAATAAGTAAATTTGAATTACAAATACTATAGGACAGTATTTCCCAAACTTGATCCATTAATGAAGTTAAATTTTCTCTTATCCCCTTTCCACCTGCATACTTCTTTGACATTACCTCCTCTCAAACCTAGAAGCACAGTGTTTCCTGTGGGCCAAAATTCTCTCTTGAGGAAGGAGGTTCAGTCAGCTCCTTCTAGTAAATTATTAAATATATATATTTATTAAATTATTTAAAAATATACATGTATATTATTTGCCATATTATTCCTGAGCCACAGAACATTTTGATCCACAAAAACTCAGAAAGTAAGCTCAGCAGTAGTGAATAAGCACAGAACTGTAGAACACATTTGAAAGCATGGAGAGAGCCTCTGGAGTGCAATTATAAGCTGGCCAAAGAGAAAGGACAAGAGCTCTCAGCTTTGGAACCATTCAGACCTTGGTTCAGTGAGAAATATACTTCACACCACAAATTGTGCTGAGCAGGTTAGGTTCTTTCCTAAGTGTGGGTAAGGTGTGGGGGTAGACTGTGAGTAGAGTGTAGTGGAGAAGGCGCTATGATTCTTGGGTTTAAGAGCAAGCCAACCCATATACAAGTGTGAAGGCCTAAGGCACCCCGTGTGAGAGGTGAAAAGGCTAGCAGAAGTAGTGGACAGTTGTGGGGTGAGCTAGGAGGTAGAAAAGAGCTAAGGAATATATGTGACAGTGATACAGTGCTATATACCAAAGGATACAAAGGACACTGGGGAAGGAATAAAAGAACTGAAGACAGAGGCAGCTAGAACTGAGGAGGAAAGTTGAATTATTGAAGAAAGGCGTAGAGTCAATCAGGTAAGGCAAGGGTGACAGACTGAAGGAAATTATGAGGAGACTGGAGAATGGGGTTAGAGGGGACAGCAGGTAGACAAAGAGCTTCAAAAAGGGAAAAGAGGAAAAGAAAGTTTGGCTTTTGGGAGCTTTTAGGCTTCTTTGAGTAGGAGCTAGAACAAACATACTTGGTTGCTTTAAGGGCTGATGGCCTTAATATATATCTATATGTAGTTCTTCATACACAGATAGCCCTTTCGTACTTAATTGACATACCTCCTCATTAATATGGATGACTATTCTCTCACTGTTGATCATTAGGGTAAAAACTAAAGTTTATCCTTGCATTAACTTTATAACTCAGTGTCTGTATATCATACATTGGAAACAGATTTGCAAGGAAAGCGTTGAAGCCCAAATAAAACATGACTCATAAGCATTTTAGAAGCTAACGATTAAATATATATAACTAATTAAAATACTTTTGGGTCCAAAATCATGGAATATGGGTTCCAGTTCCTGCTTTGCCACTTAATTTTTGTCCTTGGGCAAGTCATTTGACCTCTCTAAGACTCAATTTTGTGATCTACAATATGGATACTATGATACCTGTCATAAGGTTGTTGTTAGGTCTAAATAAATATGTAGATAAAGGTGTTTGTATATTTTTAAATTCTGTAAAAACAGATAATTTTAGTAATTATTCTGCTGATACATAAGCATATATTAATAAGCAGTCCTGGCTTAATATATATTTCATTATTTAACTTTTCATTAACTCACATTTATTTCTTTATAATTAATCTGAATTAATGTGGTTTTAATGACAAATTAAGATTCAGTCTTTTCACCTTAACAGTAATGAAAATACTGAGCAGTAAGATGATGAAGTACTAATCTTAGGCTAGAAATTCCAGACCCAATGTTATTTGAAACATTTTAACACATTAGTGAACTGAATAAAGAATATTTCAGGTTTGTTTTTTATTTTGCTTTTTACTTTTTATACTGAGAAGATATCGACAGATATTTCGTGAACACTGTTTTGTTGTCACTGTTCTTTCCCTTTTTCCAATCATATAATTGTGTATTTTTTCTTCACAAACTTATGAAAATGCTATTTAATTAACTACTTAGTCTAATTAGGTGCCATGTGTTGGTGCTAAAGTTTCAAACAATCATCAAGAGTTTGAGAAATCTTTTCTTGAGAGTAATATGAGTCTCTTCTTTTTTTAACATAGTGAACAAATACTTAAGTTCTGAAAATCCACTATTCTTCGAACTACGTGCCAGATACCTAATTGCTTGTGAACGCATACCTGAAGCAATGGCTCTTATTAAATCTTGTATAAATCACCCAGACATCAGCAAAGACTTATATTTCCATCAAGCACTCTTCACATGTCTATTTATGTCACCTGTAGAAGATCAGCTATTCCAGGAGGTATTGTTTAAGATTTTGTTTTCCTGTCATTATTTTAATTTTACAATTAAAAAAAATGGAGCCCATTCTTGTTAAATTCCTTTTTAGTAGAACCAAAGGCTTTTAGATTACATTATCTACATGTGTTCTCTTTGGCACCATTCTTTAAGCTCATGTTGAATTAGACAAAATCTGACATTAATAAATGATGAAATTAATAAAACAGTATAAGCATTATTTATTTATGTTGAGTTTCTGGTGTTACAGAGATTAAATAAAAACTGAGAAGCATTATGATTTTGCCTTTTAAATAAAATGCTAAGAAATTAAATTTCATGTTTGTTATGTTTTTTCAAGATGAAAGAATCTTTCCTAATATGGACCCTACTTACCTACAAGTATGGACATTAAAGAGATCAAAAGTAGTCATTGTACACTGTAGGTTCTATATAGTAAAACAATGAGACCATGAGAATTTTTCTGTACAGTTCATCATTGTCTTCATAGAAGAAAACTAGAAATCTAATTTCTTCTGAATGTTTGAACATTTACTACAGCTAGCTTTTTGGATTTTTTAATATGAACTGATTTTTCTTTTCCTCTTATAGCATTTATTGAAAACTGATTGTAAGAGTGGAATTGATATCATCTGTAACACTGAAAAAGAAGGCAAAACTGTACTAGCCTTGCAACTCTGTGAATCTTTTCTTATTTCACAGCTCCAGAATGGGGACATGTATTGTATCTGGTAAGTGTTCCTAATGTCAAAATTGAAATAAGATGGGGAACAGAAGGAGAATTGGTTAGCAGAGTTTGGGTTTTAGAATTTTTAAAAGTTATGTGAAACTGTTAAGCAAGAAGCAATAGTAAGACCTAACAGTTAAAAAAGAGAATGATCATGTACCAGTAATTGATACTGTGAATATTTAATGTATGTGCTATAATGAAACAATTGTCTTTTAAATTAAATTTGGAGTGTGAAGTTTGGTGGGTTTTTTTTTTTGAGACTTAGTTTTTTAGAGCAGTTTTATGTTTGTAGCAAAATTTAGAGTGAGGTACAGACATTTTCCATATTCCCCCTGCTTCCACACATACATGATCAATATTACTTCCCAGAATGGTACATTTTTACCAAGGTTGAACCTACCCTGACACATCATGATCACACATGATCACAGTTCATTTTTCTGTTAACTGTTGGTGTTCTATATTCTATGGGTTTGGACAAGTAAATAATGACATAAGTCATCATTATAGTATTGTACAGAGTATTTTCACTGCTGTAAAAATCATCTGTGCTCCATCTGTTTGTCTTTCTTTCTGACTGCCACCTCTGGAAAGCGCTGATTTTTTTACTGTCTTCAGTTTTGCCTTTTCAGAGTATCATATAGTTGGAATCATACAATGTGTAGCCTTCTCAAAAAGGCTTCTTTCACTTAGTACTATACATTTAGGGTTTCTCCATGTCTTTTCATAGCTTGATGGTTCATTTCTTTTTAGTGTTAAATAATATTCTCTTGTCTGGATGTACCACAGTTTATTCATCCATTCAGATGCTGAAGGGTGTTTTGTTATTTCCAAGTTTTGGCAATTATGAACAAAGCTGCTATAAACGTCTGTGTTTAGGTTTTTGTGTGGACATGTTTTCAGCACCTTTGGGTAAATATCAAGGAGAATGATTGCTGGAACGTATGGTAAAAATATGTTTAGTTTTTTAAGAAACTGCTAAACTGTCTTCCAAAATGGTTGTACCATTTCTCACTCCCACCAGCAATGTATGAGAATTCTGTTGCTCATCCTCACCACCATTTGTTGTCAGGGTTCTAGATTTTGGCCCCGCTAATAGGTGTATAGTGGTATCTATATATCTATTGTTATAATTTGCATTCTCCCTGATGACATATGAAATGGAGCATCTTTTTATATGCTTTCTTGCTATTTGTAGATCTTCTTTGGTGAGGTTTCTGTTAAGATTTTGGCCTCTTTATTTGAATTGCTTGTTTTCTTATTGCTGACTTTTAAGAGTTCTTTGTGTATTGTGAATAACAGTCATTTATCAGATGTGTTTTTTAATAAATATTTTCTCCCAGTCTGTGGCCTGTTTTTTCATTTCCTTGACACTGTCTTTTACAGAGCATGATTTTTTAAAATTTTAACGAAGTCCTGCTTATGAGTTACTTCTTTCATGGATCGTATCTTTGGTGTTATGTCAAAAAAGGCATCACCATACCTAAGGTTATCTAGGTATTCTCCTATATTATATTCTAGAAGTTTTATAATTTTACATTTTATATTTAGGTCTGTGATCCATTTTGAGGTTTTTTTTGTGAATGTTATAAGGTCTGTGTTTAGATTTATATTTTTGGAATGTGGATGCCCAGTTGTTTCAGCATCATTTGCTGAAGAAACTGTCTTTGTCCTTTGTATTGCCTTTGTTCCTTTGTCAAAGTTCAATTGACTACATTTACGTGGGTTCATTTCTGGGCTCTCTACTTTGTCCCATTGATCTATTTGTCTATTCTTTTGATGAAATAGCAGTGTCCTCAATTTAGCTCTATACTAAAGTCCTGAAGTTAGGTATATCAGTCCTCCAAGTATGTTCTTCTTCAGTATTGCATTAGCTATTCTGGGAATTTACTTCTCCATATAAATTTTAGAATCAGTTTGTCAGTATCCATAAAATAACCTGCTAGGGTTTTGATTGGGATTGCATTAAATCTGTGTAGATCAAGTTGGGAAGAAGAGACATTTTGACAATATTATTTCTTCCTAGACTGAAAAATCTCTCCATTTATTTAGTTCTTTGACTTAATTCACCTGAGTTTTAGTGTTCCTCATATAAATCTTCTACATGTTTGTTGAAATTATACCTATGTATTTTGTTTCTTAAGTGCTAATATTAATGGCATTGTGTATTAGTTTTTTTAAAACATAAGAATTATGTCAAAGTTATTAGTAGGATATATGAACCATTAAGTTTAGGAACTATGTTATTTGGAATGTGGTATGAGAGTGTTCTTAGTATCTACCCTTCAAATGCTATTAGGTGAAACCATGAATAATAATTACAGAAGATTCTAGTAACTTCTGATTCCCCTCTCCCAGCATACACATGTGCGTGCGCACACGCGTGCGCACACACACACAGACCATTCCACTTTGACATTTCATTAATTTTTAAAGGAATATTATGTTTTATTTGAGGAGCATAATAATCTGAAATGATATGGTTATAAACATTCTTTAATAAATGCTTTTGAATTTTAAATATTTAAAACAATAGGTTGAAAGAGATTTAAAGCCAAACTCATTTAATCTTCTTGTTTTACATATTAAAATCTTCAGACTAAGAGATAAAGTAAAAAAAGCTAATTAGTAGCAGAGCCGGATCTAGTTTCTAGATCCCACTCTGCTATTAATTTTCTAGGAGAGTACATTTTTAGTCAGATTATGTAAGTTTTATTCAGAAGTTTACCCAGTAAGTTGGATTTCAAATAGAGGAGGGATCAGGAGGCAATGGTACAACATACAGTTAGTATTATCATTTCTTGATATGTAGTTATTCCCAAACAATATACTCATGACTATTATATTAGATCTTTTCCTATAATAGGGATAGGAATATTCTCTGCTCTTGACTGTATTAAACTATTTAAACTGGATATCCTCAGTCTTTTCATTTTAATACACTTTTTAAAAAAAAGGAATCATGTATAAACAACAACAAAGAGGAAAGCACTTAATTTTCTTCTTTTCTTGACTAACCAATTTCTGTTCTCTAAGAAGGAACCTTAAACTGTCTTTCCTGCTCCTGGCCACAGTTACCCTCCAAGAACAGAAGCTGGGTAATGCAACTTCCAGCTGCTTAACTGGAAAGGGATCTTTAGATTGCTTCTTCATCCTTTCTTCTAAGTAGGCTGAGTTCTGATGGTCTGCTCTCTTATTTCTTCTACCTCTCCTCTATATTTCTAAATGCTGAAATTCTTTTTCTAAAAGTTGATTGTCACTGTAACTTGAAGAAGCAGGATTCCTTCTAGCCTCAAGGTCTGTGTTGTCTTTTTCATCTTGGCCCTCCCTTTGATCAGCTTACCCTTTATCTGGACTCTTTAAGAACAGGACCTGATCCACAGTCCAGTTTTGTTTCATCTCAAGCTAGTGGAGTAAGCTACTAACCTTATTTCTCTTACTATCACTAAACAAACAAATAGTAATAGCAGCTGCTACTAGTTGCTGAGTGCTTCCTGTAGTCTTTGCTATATATGTGCATTATCTTACTTATTCTAACAATTTTATGGAGTAGATATTGTACTGATATCTAGTAGATGCCCTTCAACTAGTAGATAAAGCCAGGATACAAATCCATGTAGCCTGACTGACAACCACTGAGTTTTAATTTGTAGAGCCTGTTATAGCCTGTTCTCAGATAGATAATTTGATGAATTTGACGATTTTATTAGTACTTGCTACCTGGTAAATATGTACACCAAATTGGTGCTGTGTTTTCTAAAGGAACCTGTGTTTAAAAAGAAAATGTAAGTTTCATTAAAATATCCCCTTTGGTCTACACAAATAATCCTATTAGTGGTTTTTAGGGTGTTTTGTTTTTTGCTTGTGTTCTCCTTCAAAATCCAGTGCACAAGTAAACCCTGAGGCTCCTCTTATAAATTCAGTCAGAATGGACCTTCATAACCATGTTTCTGCTTTGCCTACTAGAAAGCTAAAATCTATATTGGTAGCCCTCTCCTGGCAAACTTATTAAGACCTTGGTATTTTATTTTGTTTACCAACTTTCCTCCTGAGTTAACAGAAACAAAGATAAGATCTGTCTTCAGAAAAAAATATTGTACCTTGATAATGTCTCTCTATGGAGTCTCAAATTATATTTTGGAATAAGTTGGAGAATAAATATATACATTTCTAATATGTTAAAAAATTTTTGTATAATACTGAATGGAATATTTTGCCATGATTTCCAACTATCATTTTTTTGTTTTTAAATCTGTTGCAGAGATATGCCATGTCTTTTTCAGCATCTAACTAGTTAGGGAAAATGTAATAGTATAGGCATTCCTTAGAGATACTGCAGGTTCAGTTCCAGTCACCATAGTACAGTGAGTATTACAACACAAGGAGTATCATGATAAAGCAACTCATAATCTTTTACTTGTGGAGGGTCTTCAGTTTGTAAGAAAACACAACATGTGTGTATCGCAGTGACGCAAAGTGCAAAAAAATGAGGTATGCCTGTATTTACTGGAAAGATACTAGCATATGGCATAAGTGACAAAAAGGACAGGGATATAGTTGGTCCTCAAAAGAGAAGTGCTACCAGAGACACTCAAGATTGCTAGGGTTAAAAAAAATTTTTGTTTCTCTTTTATGTCAGTTGGTTCCAGTCTCTCCCATTGCACACCAGAAGGAATGTCAGCAGTCCCCATGATTCACAGTTTAGAGTTGAGAACATTCTAGAGTTGAAACTGACAGGGGTCAGTTTCCTGTTCCTGAATTAATATCTTAAGGAGGGTGAGAAGGGTCACATAGGAGACATGGCTACTGGGATTCCAATGTTGTGTATTAAGGCATTGCCAGAAAAAGGTGGCTCACCGTAAACTTGGTAATGCCATGCCTGGTGGTAGCATACAACACCCTATTGATATTTAGGTTTCTCTCATTCCCAGTCTCATGTTTTTGCCACTACATCCATACAATGTGTCATTGAGATTTATAATGTATTAATAGTTAGGGAAACAAGATCTATATAATATAAGTGAGGGAATACATGAAAGGCATGAAATCAATAAGAGGGATCAAAGACCTGTTCTGAAGTAATTACCACTTTGGGGTATTCATGAAGGCTTTTGTGAAGAGGCACTTGGTATGGACATTGAAAGATAAGCTCATCTTAGAAATAAAGAACTACTTTCCAAAAAGAGTAATCAGCATAAATAAAAATGAGAATAAATTAACTGTAAGGAGACCAGTGTAGAAGAGTACCCAGAATTCAAATCCTATGCTTCCAATTTCAAAATCCATGTTTCCATTGCTACTGACACTATAATGGCATCTAGAACACACATTAAATGAAATAGTCTGGAAGGTGGAAACAGATCAGTTTAAAACCCCATCGAATTATTAACACAGAAAAATAGGCCTGACTGGTGTAGCTCAGTGGATTGAGCATGGGCAGTGAACCAAAGGATGATTGGTTCGATTCCCAGTCAGGGCACATGCCTGGATTGCAGGCCAGGTCCCCAGTGGGGGGTGTGTAAGAGGTAATGACATAATGATGCTTCTCTCCCTCTCTTTCTTCTTCCCTTCTCCTCTCTCTAAAAAAATAAATATTTCAAAAAAATTAAAGGGCCTAAGGTGGTACATGGAGAAGAATGGCTCTGGGGAAAAAATATAATCAAAGTGTAAAGACCGAATAATGAATAGGTTAAAACAAACAGGTTAGAGGAATGTTTAGTGTCATTGACTGATCTAGGAAAAGACTGTCAATTTTGCAGGAATGTTATTTGTTCCGATATGGTTATGGTGACAGAAAGCAATCTTAATTGAAATATGCCTAGACATGGAAATTGGTAAAGAAATCAGAACTACAGATTTGGGAGCAAGGTGTGAAACCCAATGAGCTTCCATAGGAGTACATATGCAAAAAAGAAGAAAAGAAAAAGGTTAGTGGTGTTCTGAAACTTATGAACACCACAAAGCCAGTATGAAATATGGGGAATTCTGTTTTTTACTGATAATACATTGCTTGCCATTATTTTCTGTTTTGTATTTTCTGTGTTGCCTCTCTAAGTAGACTATTCATACCTTCATGATAGTAATCAAGCTGCCCTTAGATTTAATAATTGTATATGCTGGGCATACTCAGCATACTCAGTAAGTCACTTGAAAAAAATTTTTTATCATCAATTATTTTAATACTTTTTAGATTATGATGCTTTATGTAACTAATGATATATTTAAAGAATTCTAATTTGCTAAATTATGATATCCAAATATATCAATTATATCTTATAATTTTCTTTCCCACAAAGCCCACTGCTTCATATAATAACCTAAGCCATATTTTTGGAAAATGGTTCGTAGTTTGTATATATTGAAAGTCTACATATTAATGAAAGAGCAGATAATCTAAAACATTTCAGAATTAGTACTATAATATATTTAAACTTTGGATCTATAGCACTTTGGGTATCTTAATAAATTGAAAATGAAAAATATGAGCTATTTTTTGCATAAAGTCTATAGCACTGATTTCTAAATTGGCAAGTAGGGTATTAATTAATGGCTAAAGTTATTTTTTTTTATGTAATGTTGGTACATTTGGATTAGAATTTATTTTGATCAACTACTAGAGATGCCTTAGGTTTGTAAGCATGTGATTGAAATTCATTCCTTACCACTGCAAACTTGCAATTTTTGGAATTTTCCCTCCACAACTTTTATTAGTTCCATATAGGTAGCAGAAGTAGCTTAGGGTTAACATAATGTCCATTTATACCCACTTTATATGTATCTCAGCCAAAGAATCCGTTAAAGATAACTAATATCTGTATTTCAACAATAAACTGTATTTTTGATACTTCTCTTTTTTTCTCATTTACAGGGAGTTGATTTTCATATGGAGTAAACTTCAGCTTAAGTCTAACCCTTCAAAACAAGTTTTTGTAGATCAATGCTACCAGCTTTTAAGAACAGCAACTAATGTGAGAGTCATATTTCCTTTCATGAAAATCATTAAGGATGAGGTAAATAGGATATATTTACCCCTTCATTTTAAATTAAAATTAAATGACAGCTCAATGAAACTTGAATCTCTTATGAAAAAATTTATTTGACTATAAATTTGAAGAGGATATATGATTAAATAAATTTATCATTTTAGTAGAATCTTAATTTGCAGATGAGCTTTATCTGTAGACAATGCCTGCTCACTGTCATAAAGAAATATAGCTCATAGTTTTTTAGGTTAAAGAAACCATGAATACAAGGCATTTTTGAAACTTAAGGACAGATTTCTAGAGTGTTTAAATAGTATAAACCCATTAACTGTTTTTAAAAATAGTCCTGAAGCAAGTTTTTCATGGGCCATTTGCAAGTGAGTACAATTCTACATGACTTACATAGACATGAAAATGGATCCTGCCAGTCCTTTAACTTTTGTTTCTAAATATTAACAAGTTTAAATACAAAGATAGTCAAGATAAAGCTACCCTACATTTTAACTGAATCCTTATGCAGGTTACATAAGGAGGCATCCATTAAGTAATATATTTTATTGTTTTCTTATATTTGTGCACTTATGACATTCATTATCACATCACTCATTAGCTATATGACCACACAGTGATCATATTCCCATGACATAGAGTTGACAGCGTTATATCAAGGTATTTTTTTTCTTATTTATTTTGCTAATAGCCTTAATAGCTTCACCATTAGTGAGATGTCATTCAAATGTATTGTTAAATTTAATCTCTCTCCCTACCAAAAAGGAGGAAAAACAAGTAAATTATGTCATAAAATACTTTTCAACATTTAAGGTGAATCAGAGTCATCTGTAAAACTTCTTTCAAAAATAAAAGATGTATCTATTTACTTTTTTACATGTGATTCTCATTTGCACCAAACATTAAGAGACTTGGCTAAAGAAAGTTTATAACATTGGGGAAGTTCAGCAAATTATCAGAAAGCTATCCTATTTTTATAAGTCTGGCCAGCCTAAAAATACATTAAAAGAGGAAAAATTCAAAGATGAAATAAATATTTAAAATGTGCTTAATTGTTTATACTGTACTTAAAAAAAGGTTTTAATCTAGTGGAATAGGTCACTGACATGCCTCAGTGCTGGCACAATACCACATGAGTTCAGAAGGAGACATAGACGGCATATCTGAAAAGGCTCCACAAAGGAGGATGCTTTAAGCTGGGTTTTGAATGATAGATGAGGACAGTACTAATATTTGTATTTTACAGACCACTTTTCTCATGTTATTGTTATCTCACAACTGTTCAGTGACATTAACAGTGTAGCAGAGAAACCTGGGAGAAGTATGTAGAAGATGAAAGAAACTAATTGGAGGGAGTGTAGGAGTTGAGGGAGGGTGCTGGAGATCCCAAAGGGACTTGAATTCTACATTAAAAGTTGGAACTTCAGTTTATAAATATACTGGAAATTTTAAAGGATTTCTGGTAAGGAAAGTGTCTCATTTCCTTTTGTCCTTTGTGATGATTCTGAAATTTTTAAACTTGGGCATTTGGGTACATTATAACTTCATGAGGCAAAAGAGAGAATGTAAACAGAACTTTAGAGAAAGAAGGATTTTTTTTTTTGAAGCAGTGAAGTTTGAACTTGTTATATCTGGAAAATCTAGGTGCAACTATCTAAGTATAACAGACAATTAGAGGGAGGAAATTTGAATTCAGTAAAGGATTTCAAACTGGAAATGATGGATAGGAGAAAACTAAACTCAGTGGAATAGATCTGATTTCATTTAAAAGTCGCTATATTCTAACTTCTCTGCTAACCATAGGAGGATATAAAAAATGAGGTACTGTATTATTTAGGAATTCAAAAATTCCTAGGAATTTAATAATTCAAAGGAGGGGGGTAGGGACATACACAGGTTGTTATAAAACAATATATACATGCTGTTTAGAAATAAGTGTAAGTTATTCCCAGTAGAATGAAAAGGGAATGCTTAACTCTACCCCAGGGCAGGGACCAGAATGAATGGTGAGGAAGAACTTTTCAGAGTACAAGTGCCAAAGAATGAATAGATGTGTCAGAATTTACCAGCAAGATAAAGTGGGAATATGATGTACAAAGTTAAGGTCTGTGTGTGAAACTGTAAGTAGATAAGCAGGGTTGCAGAACATGTAAAGGACTAAGTGGACATAAGGATGGTAAAGTGTTTTCCTCTTTCATCATCTGTAATATACCCTATGTAGGTAGTATGATGTACACACACACACAATTTAAAAGACATTATTTGTACCTCTTTCTGTTCAAACAGGTATTTAGATCATTTCAAATCACTAGCAGCATTATTTATAACTTGAATTAGGGTGGATATATAACAAATTCCTGAGTAAAAGCTGATGCAGTTTACCTTTGAGTCATAAGTAAAAATTTCAAAACTCGAATGCTTTTGTTGGTAACTTCCTTCCAGTAGGTTCATTATTCTGTTACCTTACTAGATTTGGAAAGATTGTAATGGCCCTCTTCATGTGGCCTACATTTCTTCCCTTATTTGTTTAAATAATATTAATTAAATAGTGCAGCTTTATGAAAGAGTTTCCCATAAGCAGTTATTTTTAAGTAATTATTTTTAAGTAAAAATTGGTAAATGTGCTTAAATTCATATAATGTAACCCTTCTGCCACAGAATGAGATTAGTACCTAAAATAAGAAAGTAAATCTTATTAAGTTTACAGAGTATTTTGTATTTTAAATCACCATAAGGTTATGAAGCATTTTTTATTATGGTTAGTAATGCTTGACAAATTTGCAAATTAAGTAAATTAAAAGTGAAAATGCTATTTTTTCAGAGTCTCAAATTTATAAAGATTTATTTATATGTTAAATAAGAGTTCAGGCTACCTACTGAGTTAAGAATTAAGGCTGACTACTGAGGGAAATTACACATTTGGAATACTGTGTTTATTTTAACTTTCACTTTATGGTTGTATTTTGAAGAGGTAAACTAGTTAGTACAATATTTTTAAAAGCGTATTTAGTAGTAATATTTTTTCTTTTTTAGGTTGAAGAAGAAGGCCTACAAATTTGTGTTGAAATATGTGGTTGTGCTCTACAACTAGACCTTCATGATGATCCCAAAACTAAATGTCTGATTTATAAAACAATTGCACATTTTTTGCCAAATGATTTGGAGATCCTCAGGATTTGTGCACTCTCAATATTTTTTCTTGAGCGCTCTTTGGAAGCTTATCATACAGTGGAAGAACTTTATAAACGTCCTGATGAAGAATATAATGAAGGCATTAGTAGTGTTCAAAATCGTGTTCGTTTTGAATTACTTCCAATTTTAAAAAAGGGATTGTTTTTTGATCCTGAATTCTGGAACTTTGTAATGATTAAGAAAAACTGTGTAGCATTACTGAGTGATAAATCAGCAATTAGATTTCTAAATGAAAATACACTGGAAAATTCTACAGGTAATCTAAGAAAGACAGTGGAACAGAAAGATTTAGATGAAGGGCTTGACTCTCTAACAGATCAGAGCACTGGAGAGCTTGATCCTGATGATATATCTGGAGCCCAACCTAAAGGCCATGTTAATACAAAGAAAAACCTTACAGCTCTTAATGCTACTAAAGTAGATCACAATGTTCCAAGACATCGGTGTATGTTATGTAACAAGGAATTTCTAGGTGGTCACATTGTAAGACATGCCCAGGCTCATCAGAAAAAGGGCAGTTTTTCCTGTGTAATATGTGGTAGGAAATTTAGAAACAGAGGACTTATGCAGAAGCATTTAAAGAATCATGTTAAAAAAATACAAAGACAACAAATTGCTGCAGCTCAACAGGAGGATCAAGAAATTCCTGCTTTAGGAGAAATAAGTTGTTACAATTCTTTAATTTCACTTGAAAATGAGAATTCTGATAATAAAGATTTGGAAGTACAAACTATTAATACTTCCAGTGATAGAAATGAAGAAGTCATCCCTGCACATGTGGCTGAATTCACTGAAATTCCCATAAGTGTATCAGAAAATGCTATTGAAAACATCACTGAAAATGGCAGTACTGATACTTACATAAATAATCTATTAGAGCCGCTACCTATATGTGAGGATGACTATGAGGAGGAAGAGGATGAAGAAGGTGATTTTGAAGATGATTATGACCTGAATCAAGAAACCTCAGTACTTCATAAAATCAATGGAACTGTATGCCATCCAAAAGACATATATGATACAGATCAAGAAGGAAACTTTAAGTGCCCTGCTTTTGGCTGTGTCAGGATATTTAAAAGAATTGGATTTCTAAATAAACATGCAAGGACTGTACATCCAACTGACTTGAATGTGCGGCAAACCGTAATGAAGTGGAGCAAAGGAAAATGCAAATTTTGTCAAAGGCAGTTTGAAGATTCTCAGCATTTTATAGATCACCTTAATAGACACAGCTACCCAAATGTGTACTTTTGTTTGCATTTTAATTGCAATGAGTCATTTAAGCTGCCATTCCAGCTTGCTCAACACACAAAAAGTCACAGGATATTTCAAGCTCAGTGTAGTTTCCCAGAATGCCATGAGCTTTTTGAAGATCTTCCTCTGTTATATGAACATGAAGCTCAGCATTATTTAAGTAAAACACCAGAATCATCTGCACAACCAAGTGAAGCAGTTGTTTGGGATGTTCTTACAGACTCAAATGCTAATCATCAGGAAAAAGACTCATCTAGAAATGAGAAACAAGCTACTAGTCTGCCATTTTCTACTAGCAAATCAAGGAAAGATTCTACAGAACCAAAGACATGTATAGAAAGTATGGAAAAGAAGACAGACAATTTAGTTCAGAATGGAAATGAACATTCTGAAGATACTGTTTCTGATATAAGCTTGATAGACCAAAAGATGCCTGACATAGAGCCAAATTCTGAAAACAATTGTAGTATTAGTGATTTAGTCAATGGACACAGTGGAATAGAACAGACACCTTTAGTTTCATCAGATCCTGCTTTGAAAACCAATACAAATAGAATCAGGACAGAAAATGGTTCCATTTTACCCAGTGTTCTACCACAAGAACACAGTACCCCACCAGTATCTCAGGCACCATCCAAACCAAATCCGACCAGTGAACATACTTCATATGGCTTAATTTTGTCAAAGCCATATGTCAGACCATTGCCTCCCAGTTACCTTGATGAACGGTACCTTAGTATGCCAAAACGCAGAAAATTTATGACTGATAGAATAGATGCCTATTCTGATCAAGATAACATTTGTAGAAAGTCAGTGAAAAGACTAAGATGTGGCAAATGCCTGACCACCTACTGTAATGCAGAAGCACTTGAGGCTCACCTTGCACAAAAGAAATGTCAGGCACTCTTTGGATTTGATTCAGATGATGAAAGTAAGTCTTCTATCTTCTTAGTAGGTATATCTGTAGAAGTAGAAAATGCCATAGATCTTTGAGGTTAAAAAACTAACATTTGTATAGCACAATTAGGTGATAATACTATTCCTGTTTTATAGATCAAAGTCAAAATACACAAGTATTTTGCAAAGGCACAGGCCTATGAACTTGTGGGAGCCAGAACTTGTACACAGGTTTTTAATACTCTTTGATCATACTCTTTCACTGTATCTGAGGCTTTTCTTCATTCTAAGTTTCATGTAATTAAAGTTCTAGAAAAAAGTAATTATGATGGAAGTGTTTTTCATCTGCATGCTAGAATATAAACCAAGTTAAATTGAGCCTCTTTACAAAAATACTTAAGAGTCAGAAAGTAATTGAAAAACCAAAAAGAGAAAGAAAAGCTGGTCTTTTCTACTGAAAATCAGTATTCTTTGAATGTGTAAGAGTATAAATAAACAGGGATCTGACTTAGAATTCCACATGAACATCTATAAAATTTGAATTAATAGACATGTTCTCTTTTACAGGTGCCTGATAAAAATGTTTGAGAAAGATCTGTTGATCAAGCAGTAGTGTGAAAAAAGCACTACAAGAAAATGCATCATCAGTTTGCTATTTCCCTGATGGCCTTAATTTTAGAGTGGTCTTGGATTACTAAAGATAAAGACAACGCACATTGTCCAGAGTGAACTCACAGAGATGTGCTGGGTTAGATTTCAAAAGGGTTATTTCAAAACTCCCAAAGTACCAGTTATCCAGAAAACCACATTTTAAAAAAAGTTTGTGAGATTAATAGCAGCATGTTCAGTTTTGCTTATGTGAAAAACATATTCAGGCAACTAGTCAAAGAGAAACAAGCTATGGCCTTACAGAAAGGGAAAAGTTAATCTGTTATTTAAAAAAAAGGTGGGGTTGGTTTACAATAAAGTATTCTATAAATGGGATTTGTTTTCTTGTCATGCGTAATCAGATTATGACCTTCCCTTCTGGTCAAACATGGTTTAAGGAATCACTGCTATTTGTTTTATTATAATTTAGAAACTGATACACGAAAATAAAACTTGGCTTATCACCATTCTGTGCATAATATATTGTAACTTGTTTCCAGATGATTGAATAGAAAAGTAAAAATTCAATGAATGGCATGCTAGCATTGAAACTTTAGAAACCAAAAGAAAACAAAACAGTAGTGCTTTAGTAGAACCTTCCATGTTCCATTCTTACAATACCAGTGAATTGTAGTATTTAAAAGACAGCAGTGTCAATTAAATAGAAAAAAGTACCAGCAACTACTTTGGGGACAGATTGGAGGAACCAAAGACCATTCAAGGCTGTCTAGTTGAAGGAAAATACTGAATTACAAATTGTTCAATGTGAATAATGGTATAAGCACACTGGGATATTTTTATTTGTAAATAGAGTAGTGTTAGGACATTGCTTGATGATTCATAGTAAGGTCCTATAGACATTGATGTGAGTTATGTAAGTACAGCCATATAAAAATAACTGGCTGTAAGAATTGTAAGCTAAGAATCAGGTCAAGAATTCATTGGTTTTATTCAGTTAGGAGAATTAGTTATAAAATAAGCCATACTACTTATCTGTTCGTATTTATTAGTGATGAATTTGGTCTGATTAGTAATTTATATATATATGAAAGGAAATATTTACACAAAAATTTGCACAAGAATACAGTAAGATATATTGACACATTTATTTTCCTTAATGACCAGTAATTTTCCTAAGGAAGATTTTAACTTAATCGTCAATAAATTGTTAAGACAAAAAGTGTTAAATACCCTCTCAGATATGTTCTGTTGGGTTGGCCAAAAAGTTCATTTGTTTTTTCTGTAAGATGGACCTAAGTAGTGCTTAGTTGTCTTTAACTTCATTGGAAGGAATTTTATTAGATTGTATTGTGACAGCTGTCATATCAGCGTGCATTTAAAAAAAAGGTATCAAAATTGGTGAATTTTTGTATTTCCATTTAAATATTGAAGATGGAAGAAAATACACATTTAAAGATAACACAACTGAAATTCAAAAAAGACTTGTGCGGTGTATGGAGAAGGTGCTGTGACTGATGGAATGTGTCAAAGGTGGTTTGTGAAGTTGTGAAGTTTTGTGCTGGATATTTCTTGCCAATGCTCCATCATTGGGTAAACCAGTTGAAATTGATAGTGATCAAATTGAGATATTAAGAACCACCAACATCACTTCCATGTGGAAGATAGGTGATGTACTCAAAATATCCAAATTAATAAAGTTACTGGTGAAGATGAAAACTGTGTCATTTTATGGAAAAAACTAAATGGACTTTCTGGCCAACCCAACACCTGTACATTTTTTAAAAGAGGAAGGTTAAAAGACCTCCATTTACCTAACAGTGTGTTAATCTGTAGCAGGGATAAAGTGAATGAAAATGTGAAGGCAGATTCTTCAAAAACTGAGCTAATAATGTACGTGTCAACCAAATATTCCAGTATTCCAGTGGACACATTTTTGTTCAAAGTAGATAGTCTCATCAGATCCTACTATATCCAAATACTTTGAATATTAAAGCTTCTTGAATGAAGTTACCAAGCAAGTGGGACATTTCTTCTAGGGTACACCCAGATTTTATGAAATTAGGATTTTTAAGACATGATAGATGATTGACCAGACATCTAAAAAGTTTCCCAATTTTATTAAGTTATTTATCATGGACATTCACTACTATGCAGTCGTAGTGCATACCATTCCAATAAAATTTAGTGTTTGTTTTTTTTTTAATGTAGCCTACATTAGGCTGTGTGATTTACTTTTAAATAGCACAAGTACACACAAATCAATTAGATTTTTTAAATTCTTTAAGGTCAACTAAGTTTTCCATACTCCCTGAGACTAAAAATATAATGCTTGAGATCTATTTCAGTTTAGTCTAAAATAATCATGCAATAAAGTCTGTTTGGAAACTAGTTCATTAGGATGATGAAGTTTTTTTCAAATATAATTTCTGCTTCATATTCTGTAAGTTTAAAATTGCAAATTAATATTTTAACTTATTTTTTATAAGTTGAAACTATCATGCCTACAAATTATTTTTCATTCATTTTGCCATTCATACCAAGATGTTTTAAACATACACCAAATGTTATTTTTTTTGTCTTTAACTTGAAGTTTTATTTCTACTTTTGTGTTGCTGAGGAAAAACCTTCTGAAAGACTGAGTTCAAATTGGTTTATACGTATGTCAAGGAATGTCTTATAGAATTCTGTTTGACTACATTGTTCTAATCTCTTAATGTATTTCTCAAATAATCGCTATTGAAGAATGTGTACACTTTGTGTATGGTTTATAAAGTAAACACATCATTCCAACAGTTCTAATTTGGAATCCAGAAGAAAAGGAAGCTTTCTTCTTCCTCAGTTTATTTTCTACTCTTTTTTTGAGGATATGTTATTTTACACTGACCAAGTTTCAATCCTTTGTTTTTAAATATAAAAAAAATGCCTTCAAAATATTAAATACTTTCTGTTATGTTTCAGTAAGGTCAAGAAAACAGCAAATCTGAATTTTTGCTGCTCAGATATTATGGAGGATGTAGAAAGGGGGAATCTCCGTGGGTAAGGACACTGGTACTTTGGGCTTCAGCCATAATTTTTTTTTTAACTGTCAGTTATATAATGACTAGATAATTTATAACATTGAACTTGTGATTCTTCTTAAATCACACATGAAGGTTCAGCCTTTCATGTTTGGTTTAAGCTGTTCTACGGATTAAAAATCTAAAAGGGATAATAGTGTTTATTTTTTAATTTATTTGGTACTGTAAAACACCTTTTCAGAATGACTAAATGCTGCATATGCATTTTGGAATTGTTAATATGTGAAAGATAATTACAGGTTCAGCAAGAAAGGAATTTGTGCTTCCTTGTTGAACATTATTTTACTTTGCATTTTATAAGAGTACAAATTAAAACTGAGCCATTGATGCAATAAGTCAACAATAGTGTCTCATTTCAAGAAATTTTTTGTACTGTACATAGATTTGTTCAATAAAACATTGTCCTTATTGGTAATGAAGTGGTCAGTTTCATGTAGCACAATGCTTCAAAAAGAATTAGGCTTAAGATGTATATTAAATAATAAATTTAAGAAATATATGATATATTAAATAAGAAATTTCTATTAATGTTTCATAAGAAAATGAGGTATTTCAGTTTATATTGCCATATTCATATTGAGTGATTTTTAAAAACAAAAAAGATAAATCTAAAAGTTTATATAAAAATATGTTAGAAATTATTTTAACTAATGTCTACATGCAGGAATTACACATTGCTAGAATTACTAAAATCATTTCACGTAAATGTTTTCAGTGTGAGATAGCACCCTCTGCAAATATAGTTGGTGGACGACAAATGTGAAAACTTTCCAAAAGCAAGGCAGCGAATGGATTTATCTATGTTGGTAATTCCCCAAAGGTGAAGAGTCTCTGGTGGAACTTAAAACAATAAAACAAAAACTTTGAAGTCATTCGAAAATGACAATTAAAATTACTACCTAAAAAGCTTTTCAATAGGAAAATAAGCCAATTAGTGTGTACCTAAAAGACATCCTTGGACATGAGGGCTCCTACTTTTTTGGTTCACTAACAAAGGAAAACCCACTATTTGCTGTAACTTGCAACTGGAAAAAAATGGGCCCAGTGTAGTAAGAGAACATCTTTAATGAGGTAAGTTGGCACTGCAAATGTAAGAACACATACTGTGTTGAATACAGTGTTTTGTGCAAATTATAAATGTTATGCTTTGAAAAACACTGGGAAAGTTATTAAAGCATTTTAGAGATGAGATCCAGAATTCTCAGTCTATGAGTTACGGTCAAGTGGTCTTAAACTATTAAATAAATATATTTGAGGTATTTAGATAAAGTTATTGGGTTTATCTACTCTTTCCATTTTTCTTTCCTGAAACTTGAGGAATTCTGGGAAGCAATGAAATACTCCTATGAGTAAGCTCCCAAGATAAATAGGGTTGCCTTTCATAGCATAATGTAAGATTCATACTGATTTCAAGAACAAGTTGATAACACAAGCTTTGGTTATGTAGCAAAATTTGAAATGAAGGCAATCCAATAGTGCATGGTATTTGGGGATGCTGCACACTGGAAAAGAAAGGCTTCTTATTTTACTAAACTACTGTCTACCAGCTACTTTGTGTAATCCCTAATTGTGACAGTAGATAAGAACACTGCTTTCTAGAAACCAAGGTTCAGAAAAGTGAACTTGATTAAAGTCACACGACTAATAAGTGGAATTGAAATATCAGCTGTGTCCTAACACCTTAACGCCATGCAGTCTTTGGTCATGCAGTTTTCCCTACAAATGTAGAACATAAGTGGATCTAATCCAGATAGAGAGGGCTAGACTTGCCTGAGGATTATTGATTTCAGAGACAAAGGATGAAGTTGGCTACAGACTTATACCAACAGTGATTCTTACAGTGTGGTCCCCAGAGCAGCAGAACCAGCAGCGCCTCAGAATTTGTTATAAATCCTTATAAGGCAAGTGATTTAAATCTGATTCCTAACCCAGACTTCGTCCAGGACAGCATGACTGTCTCCCTCTCTTGAATGTGGGTACTAACAGCTAATATATGTTCTTTCGACGGAAGGGCCAGGCACTGTTCTTAATGCCCTCCTTTGCCATCAGTCCTTTGCCAACAACCTTTGTAGGTCTCTTCTAGATTCACTTTGAGATAGGAAACTGGGACAAAACGGCTTGCCCACGGCCGCCGTTGGTAAATGGCAGATTAAAACCCTGGCCTCCGGCTTCCAGCGTCCTAACTTTAAATTGCTACGCGACAACTGCCCAGTCTAAAACTAAACCCTTGCTGATCGGAACGGAACCGACAGCCAACCTCAGCTTGAGAGGGAAAGTCAGCAGAAAGGCAGACAGGCGTGGCATAGGATGGTTGGAGGGAAAACAAGAAAACTTTTCATAGTGTATTGTTAAAACCATAGTATTTTAACACAGTACTATACAATTTAAGAGAGTCAAATTATAGGCACACCCAATTTCGAAGCAGCCCTGTAGTACTTTCAAGCCCTCCAGGGGGCTGGGCCTGCGGACGGGGAGGAGGTGCCTCCATTGGCCCGCCCCGTGGCATCACGGGAGTTCGCTGTACACTGATGGGCCCACGCCCGCTTTCCACGCACCTGCACCAGCGCAGCCGTCCCAGGCACTCTTTTGGAGGAGGGATTCCTGAGGATTCAGGCCTTCGCTTTCCGCGACGCGACTAGCTTTCTTGTGGGAGGTCGATGTTTTCGGTGCAAGCGGGTGCTTCCTAAAGTGAGATTCGCGGCACCACGCTCCATACCGGCCGGCCCGGAACGACGAGTTGGAGCACTGCGTTTCCTGATAGACCACATTGGCTGTCACTTCCGCCCAAGGATTTGGAATACCCGTGGCGCTTTGGCTACGAACAGCAGGAAAGGCACTTCCGGTGCCTGTTGCCAAGGCGCCGGCCCCTTGGGCCTAAAGGAGCGACATTATTGGCGTTGTCCTCTCCCCCCTACCTGGGGGTCGAGATGTCGGGGCTCAGCGACCCAGAGAGAGAGGGCTGTCGTAACATGCTCGGCCTACTGGATAACGATGATATCATGGCCCTATGCGACACCATCACAAACCGCCTTGTGCAGCCTGAGGACCGCCAGGGTAAGGCTAGAACCCTCTCCCCAAGGCCGGCTGCCGCACCCCAGGCCTCACTGGCCCCCAGGTAACGAGATCTCGTGAGTGGAGGAGGTGCAAGGCCTTGTCCCCAACGCATCCTGGACTGCGCTTGGGCAGAACCTTCAGGAATCTTGGTTGGTGCAGCTGTTAGCGGTCTTAGAATTACAAAGCAACCTTGGGCGGCCTCGCCGCGCATTGTCTCTGGGGGAGGTTGTGGCAATCGAAGGAGCGCTGGTTTTACCTATTGAGTATAATAGGCAACTGTTTGTTGTTTGAACCAGAGTGCGTGAAGAGTCACTTTAAAATTTTTCGGGAACAGGGTGTATTCCACTTTGTTTCGATCAGCTGGGTGTCAGCCGCTGCTCACTCATTTTCAAGCTAGGCAGAGGATTTCAAAGATTTGTATCAATACACTAGTTGAAACAACCACTGCAATAAAAGCAGATGGTTTGAATTCATGTTTTGTTTTGTTTTGAGATCCAGGTTTTTTTCTGAGATGATTTTTTTGTAGTAGAAAAACCATTTTTCAGAGGCAAACGTTTCGGTAGAATAGATTTCAAGGGTTATTAACATTCAGCCTGATTGTAATGAGTCCGTATAAAAATGAGTAGCTTAAGCTTTTCTTGTTGTATGTCACCTGTCTAGTTTTATTTTAAAGTTGCTGGAATTTATTTTTAAATGTGAAAGTTACTGCCCCCTGCATTAGTAAAGGCTTACTAAGATTCAGCTTTTAAAAATTGTATTTCTCTACTTAAGTAAGATTAACATTGCTACTATCATTTAAGAAAAATCTCATCTGAAACTTCATACCATAAACATTAAAAGAAGAAATTCCTATGAACTTATACCAAATGGTTTTAGGTTTAATGTAGTTCTTCAGCATTTATATATTTTACATTTTAATCACCTCTGAAGACCAGGTGAATGAATTTAAAATTATAGTAGATCAAAATGCTCAATTTAATGGATGGATGTAAAAGCAAATACAAATAAAGTTCCCAGTACAAAAATGTTAAACGATCTGAAGAAACATTTTTCGAAGAGGAAAAAAAAATAATCAGTAAACATATGCAAGAGTAACCTCTTTAGAAAGCAGCGAAATGAAAACCAAACATACAGTCTTTTTTTCCTATGTACCATATTGGCAAAAAACTTTATGTATAAACTTCAAGCTTTGGTGATCCTGTACAACAACTTTTAGAACTACCTCTTTGGAAAACAAGTTTGACATTATTTCCTAAAGTGGAAGATTTGCTGAATTCCAAGGTACATGTTCTAGACTGAGCTTCTCAAACTTGAATGTGCCTATGAAATCACTCAGGGATCTCGTTAAAATGAAGATTCTGCTTCAGTAGTTTTAGTGAGGGTACAGAAATTTCACATTTTTAACAAGGTCATAGGGAATGCTCATCCACTTGCCCCTCTGCAGTGGCAGACATATGAAAGTAACAGTGTTTGTAATTGGACACAAACGATAAAACTCTATAAACAGAATGATACTTTGTGATATAGTCATACAGTTAACTACGGTTCAACAGTGAACATGAATGAACTAGAGCTATGTATATTCACATAGTTTAATGTGAATATAACATTCAGAAACAACAGTAAGGGAAAAATTGATTACAGAAGACTGGGTTGAAATTTACAGCATTCAAAAATACGAAACTATGTTGTTGTTTAGGGATACATAGATATGCTGCAACTACTATTTTTTTTAAAAGGGAGAATATTAAATGACATTTAGGATAATAGCTACCTGTGAGGTTGGTGGGAAGAGGGAATGATATTAAGTAGGGAGGTGTAAAATTACAGCCTCAAAGATGTTAATAATTTCCTGTCTTAAGCTGCATGCTGTGTGCTCGAGAGTTCATTTTATTCTGTGTACCTCACACATGTTAAAAATAATCTTAAACTATCATTTAATATAATTTTCTAATTAAAAAAGTACAGTCAGGGTTCTACCTGTTCTTAGAAGTATGATTATTAATACTTCATGAATCCTCAAGTTTCATTATGTGTAGAATGAGATTGAACTAAAAGTTTTTGCACTTCTAAATATCGTACCCATTTTTACGGATTTTAACTGAAATTAGGTCCATTGGCCTTATTAGAAACATTTTTTTTACTTTGGCTAAAATTTTTTTTTCAAACACACTATAAAAGAAGTGCTAAAATTTCACTTTATCTTCTAAAAAATGAAATGAGAGGGAATTTTAGGTAGGGAAGTTTAAAGCCTAAAGAAATTTTTTTAAAAAACCTAAAACCTGACAACCCACCACCTATTTTTCAAAAATGATAACCAGCTCATGTAGAAGGAAAAATGCCATGACGAGTATAAATAGAGTTTCTGCTGACCTTGGACAAATTTACAAGTCACTCATGATATTTCTATTAATCATTACAATTTCTTTCTAGATGCCATTCGTGCAATATTAGCATATAGTCAAAATGTAGAAGAACTTCTGAAGCGTAAAAAAGTCCACCGAGATGTCATATTTAAGTACTTGGCATCACAGGGAGTTATTATACCTCCAGCTACTGAAAAACACAGTCTTATCCAGCATGCAAAGGATTACTGGAAAAAGCAATTACATCTGAAATTGAAGGAAACACCAGAGCAAGTTAAGACCTCTATGGATATTAAAATCTTTCAACAGGTAAAATTGTTGATCTTATAGTTACAACCTGAACCATAGTTGTGTCTCAGATTCTTTAGCTTCATTCTAGATCTGGGGTAACATGTTAATTTTTTAAAATAACTTTTAGCTTTACTTCATATCTTATGTATTCTAAAGGAAGACCAGTAAAGCATCTAAAAGACAATGTTTCTGACATTTAGTAATGCATATAAAATACTATTCTGATTTGTGAGGCAAAAAAATTTTATCCCCTTATCAAATCATATTTGACTTTTAAAAGAGGGTGGATAGACTGCCGGATCAATTAATTTTAATTTAACCTCAAATTTTCTGTAATTTTTTTTCTCTAAGAATGCTATTGCCCTGGTTGATGTGGCTCAGTTGGTTGGAGCATCAGCCCATAACTGAAAGATTGCGGGTTCGATTCCTGGTCAGGGCACATGCCTGGTTGCACGTTTTATCCCTAGGCCTGGACACTTATGGGAGTCAACCAATTTTTGTTTCTTTCTCACATCGATGTTTCTCTCTGTCTCTGAAAGTAATAAAAAAAAATGAATGAATGCTATTGTAAGCCCTTTCTCATTTTGAAAACTTACTCATTACATTTGATTTTTTTTTTTAACCTAGAAAAAATTCTGTTGTAAATTTTCTCTGGCTGACGTTGGCTGTTTGTCACCCTTTATATCCCCACTGTACATTTTAGATATTGTATGAATATTTAAATGTTGATTGAATGAATCTCTATGTCATTTGCAGATTTTTAAACTACATACCACACACTTTGAATTAATGAGGTGTTACAGTGAGAGATACTTACCTTCACATTAGGAAGGAATCTTACAAGGACTTTCTTAATGTGCTGAAAAGAACCTTGACTTTGAAATCATGACAGATGTGACTTCAGATTAGTGTCTGCCATATACTGAGATGTAAACTTGTGCAAATAACTTGACTTTTCTGAGCCTTTTTAGAAATAAATCTATAAAATGGGCATAAGGATAATATCTTGGTCACAAGGCTTGTGAAGTTAAAAGGAAGTAGGACTTAAGTGCAAAGCATAGTGCCCAATATATTAAATAGTACATGCTCAGTAAATGTAAGATTTCATAACATGTAAATGAGGTATTATGCTCTGGAATAAATAGGTGAATGAAAATCTAACCTATCAGGTATATATTTACAACAACATTTTCCTTGGGGCAGGAGAGAAATAGTAGTGTAAAATTCATTCTGATCATAGAAAACAACCTATTTCAATATTAGAAGTATATATTTAAAGACTGATATTGTCAGCTTCATTGTGGTATGACTTATATGCCACAAATATATTCATTTAAAGCATACATTTAAAAGGTTTTGACATTTTTTTCATACCTGTGAAACCACTGCCACAATCAAGAGAAGATGCTTATGTAAATCATTATTGACTGTACATGATGATATTTTAAGAGGTTAAACTTTAATTTCTTAGCTGGATTTGTAGATGTTTAATCTCAGAAATTCTAAAATGATTTTTCCCTTTTTGCAGAGAGAATTTACTATGCATGGTGGTTTTAGTGAGTTTACATGTAGTTCATTTTCCTTGTGAAACAGGCTACATAGAAAAATAGATGTAGGAGAATTAACCTTGGTTTTATTTTGTATTTGTCTTAATCAGCAGGAGAAAGAAGATAAAACTGAAAAAGTTGATTTTCGTCAGTTAGGGAAAGAATTCTGTCACTGGTTCTTTGAACTTCTTAATTCTCAAAATCCTTTACTCGGACCACCTCAAGATGAATGGGGACCGCAGCACTTCTGGCATGATGTCAAGCTTAGGTTTTACTACAACACCTCTGAACAAAATGTGATAGACTACCAAGGAGCAGATATCGTGAGCCTTCGTCTGCTGTCACTAGTGAAAGAAGAATATCTTTTTCTCAGTCCCAACCTAGATTCCCGAGGATTGAAATGTGCCTCTTCTCCCCATGGTCTGGTTATGGTTGGAGTTGCTGGGACTGTCCACCGAGGGAACACTTGCTTGGGCATTTTTGAACAAATTTTTGGACTCATCCGCTGCCCTTTTGTGGAGAATACTTGGAAAATCAAATTTATCAATCTGAGAATTATTGGAGAGGCTTCTCTTGCTCCTGGAGCATTAATGAAACCAGCTATTAAATTTGAACCAAGTGATCTAGAGGCCTTTTATAATGTAATCACTCTATGTGGTACCAGTGAAGTACATCATAACGTAAGGTAGGCATTGGGTTGTGGAACTGAAGACCAAGCTGTATGTGGTGGAAAGGAAACATTGTTGAACAAAAGAGAACTGAGTTCAGGTTACCCTCTAAAGCAGTAAGAACTGTATGGCAGTCTATAAAGAAACTCTTCCAGGTACTACATTGACATATTTTAGGTGAAATATCTTTTTTGACTACAGACATACATTATGTGAATACTTGCCTCTTTCTACTTCAAGTTGCAGCAAATGTTCTGAGGGCTTAATGCAGTTCATCAAATAAATTCCACTTTAGATGTTATAAACATTGTGCCTTAGAAACCAGGTAATATTTTATTTTACTGAGTGAGTATTCTGCTAATGGGTGTGCTTTTCATGTGGGAAAGGAGTAATGTGTTCAAGGCTTCCCCTTTTCAAATTTCTTTTAGCAGTCTGAATAATTTTACAAACACATCATAATGACAATACTGTTTTTTTAAAAGTACATGTATTAGAGACGTTTAATGTGAAATCGAAGTTAATATTCTAGAAAACTTGAGTGATATGCATGTACTTTTTATGCAGAAAGCCCAATAACTTAGCAGGTATAAAAAGAATTGCCTTTTTAAAATTTGAAGAACATACTTCGAAGTTACCTACTGTAGTCCAAACTAAATATCTTATAACGTGCAACACTTCAGGAACTGTTTTAGACAATGATAAGTGCTGGGCTCAAGACAGACCTTATCGTGTAAGGCTTTAATAGTTTTATGGAGTATTTATTGTAACACCATATAAAGGAAACACACTGTTGAAATTTTTCAAAAGATGTGCCCAATTTCTAACCTCCAAGTGAATTACTGTTTTCCTCTTGGTTGATGTTGGATGAGGTGAACAAAAAAAAATTACAATGTAAGAGCATACGCCCTCATCATAAATTAAAATTACTAGGATTTTTTTCATTTGTGATTTGTTTTACTAGGATTGAGTTATGATGTTAAGTTGCCAAATTAATTACATACTTGCTTTAAAATTTAAATTTCTCATCACCCAGCAGCTACTTGCTGATCTGGATTTAGTTTGTAATTTTAATTTCCAAAATGCCCATTGGCAAAAAATTCATCTGGGAAATGTTGTGATGATGTATTTATTATACCTGTTAACTTTCTACCTTTAACTCTGCTTGCGATCATCTAGAGTGACTGGAAAGAATTGTGGAAGCAGGAGGAAAATACTCTTTTGTTTTTTTAGTGTCATGCCTCTAATGAGGAGTATAAATTGATGTGTCCTAAAATAAAAACTTAATAAAGGAGAGAAATCTCTTTTTTCAGCTGTTGGAATAGTGTATTGTTTAGAGTTAAAGCCAAATTTTCTTTACATTGCAAATGTCATTATAACGTGTAATTGATAAATATCCTAAGAAAAGGATAAATTAAATATTATTTCCATTTTTTTCTTTGTGTTAATGTCCAGTGCTGCAGAAATATAACCATGGATGCTCAGGATGGGCAGAAATTACTTCTCGCCGTCTGTGATGTGGAATTTTTAGTATATGTAATGCTCAAGTGAAGCTGCAAACCGCATATTTGCTTTTTAATCACTCTTAAACATTTGAAATTTTTCTGATACACTAAATCTGTTGAGAATTGAAGCTGTGTTTTATATCCTATGAATCCCCACAGCTGGGCACACCTGTAGGACATAATGTTTAACAGAACGGCTGAAACAGTGAGCAAAAGAGGCTTACATTCTGTGTAGAAGAATCTGTGTCTAGGTTTTTGTCTTCAGTAATTCTTATCAATGGTAATTTTTTGATCACATTGTGAGTTTGAGTTTTATATGTGGATACACAGAAACTCTTAGGCCTCAGACTAACTAAGATTTGGGGAATATTTGAGCTTTCATTTAAAATTTCCTGAATTTCAGAAGTCCAAGGTCAGAGTGGGATGTACTAGGAGGGCCATAAGACTACCTAAAAAATGTTAAAGGGGAAGTGGATACTTCCAGGTTGGAGAAAGAAATTTGTTCATGAAGCTTAAACTTGGGCAGGCCTCCAGGAAGCCCAGAAGAATAGTGCAGCTTGAGCTCTCCTTTTACTACCATCCTTGTCATTTATTTTAGCATAGGGCAGAGACCCCCACCCCAGCCTTATGTCTCTTGTTTTATCACATTCAGCTGGTATTCGGGAAGTCTGTGGAGGCAAGTGGTAAAGAATAAAACTTCCTACATATAAATCATAGTAATTGGGTGGTCATATCACAGAAGCACCTGGACTTGATTTGCTGTGGCCTAATAATGGTATCACCCTATTTTTCAGACTATAAGATGAACTCCCCAAATTTGGGAAGAATGGGGGGGTGCGTCTTACTGTCCAAATGTAGCTTGTCTGGCTCGCTGTGGGGCGGGGGACAGCAGTGGAGCAGGGTCACAGGTTATTAAGTATTGTACCACTCTTTTTGCTTCAAAAGTTTTCCCATTTCCTCCTCTAAAAAACCTAGGTCGGTCCTATAGTCCTAAAAATACAATATGCATCAAGTGTCTTTTGGGGGAAATAAATCTCAAAGTAATAATAATATTAGTATATTAGTATCTGAGATGCAAAAAAAAATTTTCACGTGTCTCATTAGCTAACAATAATAGGAAAAAAGCCATCTCTGATTTATTAAATCTACTTGCAACTGGCGAACACTTGTTAGGAAAATGTTCTCAGGTTTTCACAAAAGTTAACATTTTTATGCTAAAGGAAGGCTACTTAGTCCTAGTAAAAATCTTAATAGCACCAGAAAAGGATTTAAAGAGTAGTGGTTTAATTTAAAAATAGCTAATCAGAAACATGTTTTAACAAAATGGCTTTTGTGGCAAAGTACATCATACAAATGAATGAAAACCATACCTTAACATTTTTCTTAGTATCTGTTTTCACAAATTTAGATGCCCTTTTCTTCACTTGTTCTTAGTTAGGGTTGTGGAGAGGTGTTCATCAACCTTTGGAAAATAAGACCTATGTTTCCTCTCCTGAGAAAAAGTATGTTTGCATAACATACTACAATTGCTGCGTAATATTTCAGTGAGTTCTTGGACTTCTTTAAAGCACATCTGTGAATCTTACAGAAATTCTTATACTCCATGTGAAAATCTTGCCATAATAGTTTTATTTCCCCCAGACTACTGTTCTACTATATTAAAATTAAAATTATTTTTAGAAACTTTGTCCCCTTGCCAGACTTCCAAAGCTAGAGTACAAAAATCTTATGAGTGATTCCTAGGAAATCTTGTTAGTTTATGGTAGCTATTAACTTGTAAATTGTAGCTTTCAGGAGATGTCAGATTTAAGACAAAACCTACTGAAATATTGTCAAGTGAAACAAAAATCAGAATTCATTTTATTTTGACAAAAATTTGATGAATAGTGAACATGCTTTGGAGTGATTAAAAATGTGAAAAGGAAAAGATTTTATTTATTTATTTTTAAAGATTTTATTTATCTTTAGAAAGGAAGAGAAGGAGAGAGGGAGAGAGATATCAAAGTATGGTTGCCTTTCATGCTTTCCTGGCTGGGAACTGGCCTGCAACCCAGGCATATTGACTGGGAATGAAACCGTGATCCTTTGGTTCGCAGGCCTGAGCTCAATCCACTGAGTTACACCAGCCAGGTCAGGAAAATATTTTTAGAAATCTTTTCCCAAGATCTTCACAAAAACTATCCTAAGAAGGTGTCTATTTCATAATGATTGTATATTGCTAATTCTGATAAAGAATTTAAAAAATATGAACATTGTCTTTGAAGGGCCTCCACGTGTGATCTGCTTTACACCACGTGGTCTCACCTCGCCTCCCACACCCACCCCCCACCCTATTTGTAATCTTTGTAATTGGCCAGTTTGCAGCTAGTACAGCCTCAGTGCTAGAAACGGTTTTCTGTATCTGGGCTCTCTGTAACCTTATTTGGCATATAGTTACTGAGCATCTACAGTTTATGAGTTACTGAGTCAAGTGCAAGATAAAATAATTCATTACTAGGTTATTTATGTAAATTTACGTTGAATTCAAACCTGGGTTTAGATGTCTTAAAGTGTGAACTACATGTAGCTGGGTTTGGTAATATCCTTTAGTATGTCAGAACAATAAATATATAATCGACGTTTTAAATAGCTATGTGGCTTTACCTAAGTCATACAGACTTTAGGAATAAAAAATATAGGATATTTTGACAGACCACTTTATTTAGAATTGGAAGGAGAATATTTATTTAAGAATTGTATCAGAGTGCATTGAATCTTTTTAGCTTAGTTTTTTTAGTTCGAACCTTTCTGATAGTCTTTCAGTAAAAATGTGTTCATATTAAAATTAAGTGTGATATTTGCTGTGAATTAGAATGTACCTCAAAATGTTAAACCAGAATCTGCAGAATTACTTGTGTTAATTAGAATCAGAGGCCTAAAATTTGATTTCTGTTATCAGTACTGGCAAATTTAATTTTCCCTTTTAGTCAGTTATTTAGTGAAGGTTTCTTTGGTTAACAGTTTTCATTTTCAGTTTTTAGATACCCTGAATCTCAAGTGTGAAATTATATTTGAATTAATGAATGTAAGGATTGAAGGAACCCCCTGTAGTCCACTGCCAACTGTGTTACTTGAACAATCTAATGTTTTCTGAACAAAAAATAACTAAGGAAAGCCTTTTTTCCTGGATCCATTTTGTTGGATGAGTTTGCATTCATCTTTTCCATCTCCCATTTTTTACTCTACTAATAGTATCAACACTTCATTGTCTCATATTGTTGCGTGTAAGTTCCTTTTGCCTCCTTACATAGATCATAAGATAAGTTCTAGGTAAATTTTTAGAACTGGTGAGTTACTTATTTCACAATCTGCTTTTCCCCCAGTCCCCTGCACAAGGATACATAAGCTAAATTTTGGGTGCTTAATATGCTGGCTGCTTTTCTGTGCCCCTTGTGCTTATCGACTCATTTCATCCCGTGGATTGCTAAATGAGGTAGATATCATTGTACTTCGTTTCCAAAAAAAAAGAAAAAGAAAACAAAAAACAGGGTTCAATGACTAACTTCCCAGCATTTGGAGCAAATGCCAGAACCTAGATTTAAAACCCAGTGTGAGAGCCTGAGAGTCTGGTGATACCTTACTAAGTTATATTGCCTCTTACATGTAGTAGGTTTTTGATGCATCTTTTTCCACTGGTTATCTTCAATATGAAGGTTGTCATTTTCTGGCACTTAACTGCCAAAGCAAAGCTGCCTTTACTCTATTGTTTATGCAAAAACAGAGTAGGAGTATCAGTACACACTGTATTGTGTTTTAATTAAACCTCTTAAGTTGCTCATGTAGTTATTTAAAACTTCTGGGTTGGCCCTGGCTGGTGAGAACCAAAGGTTCGATTCCCAGTCAGGGCACATGCCTAGGTTGTGGGCAAGTGCAAGCGAATAATCCATGTATCTCTCACACATTGATGTTCCCCTCTCTCTCTCCCTTCCCCTCTCTCTAAAAATAAATCTTTTTAAAAAAAGAAAGTTGATTGGGTAATAAAATAATTATTAAATATTAATATTAAATATTTAATAATTATTAAGTATAAAATGTATATGTAACCATTGTATCAACCATTTCTTGGACTCATCGTCACACCACAATCTCCAGTCATCTTCCCTTCCTGTTATGACTGTTGTGCTTTCAGCCCGAGAATTAGTCTGTTTCATGCATCCAATTTCTTGCCATGTCTGGATGTAGCGTATGTATAGAATTGTTTTCTATTTCAGCTGTTGCTGTAATTGGACTCTTTACATTAACCTAGACTTATTTTTTGCTTTAATATTTCTTACATGTTTGTGACATTATATGCCCTTAAAGTACAGCTTTCACCATATTTTTCGTGTTCAGAACTTCAGTGGTGTTGTATTACCTTCAAAGTCTGGTTTTCATTACCAGCTAAGTTGGGTTCCACTCATTTTCACACATCATTTGATCCCGCATTTACTGCTGTATATATAGTCTTTGTGTTTACTTATCCTATACTTATCCCTGTGCTTTTATTGGCAAGTATATGAAATTGTAGATTTAAGTTTGTGTTGTAGTCTGATAATGTATTGTAGAAAGAAAAGAATTATGATTGAAATGGAGTTTGCAACTGGAAATTTCAGTAAGGCAAGCACTTTTTCTCTTTAGGACGTGTACATCATCTGTCTAGAACACTTTCCCCAGCTTTTTGCATGGCTGCTTTATTTACATTTTGAGGATTTGGGTTAGATCAGGGGTGTCACTCATTTCCACGGGGGGCCACATCAGCCTTGCAGCTGCCTTCAAAGGGCCGAATGTAATTTTAGGACTTTATAAATGTAACTACTTCTTAACGGTTAAGTGAGAGCTCGGTGCTGCCGCTGGGTAGAAACAAGGTGCAGGGCTGGATTCGGCCCGCGGGCCTTGCGTTTGCCACCTGTGTGTTAGATGTTTCCTCTCAGACCAGGTACACCCTATTGATAATATTTATGAGAGCACCTTGTTAGTTTCAGTCTTAGTACTTAGCTACTTTATTTTTTTAATATATTTTATTAATTATGCCATCACAGTTGTTCTATTTCCCCCCTTCATTCCCCTCCACCCTGCACACCCCCTCCCCCACCATTCCCCCCCTTTAGTTTATGACCACATGTCTCAAGTTCTTTAGATTCTATATTTCCCATACTATCCTTGCCCTCCCCCCTATTTTCTATCTACCATCTATGCTACTTATTTTCTGTACCTTCTCCCCCCTTCTCCTTCTCCCACTCCCCTGTTGCTAACCCTCCATGTGATCTTCATTTCTATGATTCTGCTCCTGATCTAGCTGTCCTCTTAGTTTGCTTTTGTTTTAGGTGTGGTTGTTAATAACTGTGAGTTTGCTGTCCTTTCACTTCATCTTTTTTATCTTCTTTTTCTTGGGTAAGTTCCTTTAACATTTCATATAATAAGGGCTTGGTGATGATGAACTCCTTGAATTTGATCTTATCTGAGAAGCAAGTTATCTGCCCTTCCATTCTAAATGAAAGCTTTGCTGGATAGATCAATCTTGGATGTAGGTCTTTGGATTTCATGACTTGGAATACTTCTTTCCAGCCCCTTCTTGCCTATAAGGTCTCTTTTGAGAAATTTGCTGACAGTCTGACGGGAACTCCTTTGTAGGTGACCTTTAATTTATTAATCTTCCCCACTAGATTTTAAACTGAGAGCAGAGACTGTTTTCACTTTCATTGCATTTCCATTGCTTTGTACAGAGATTAGGTATTCAATATTTACTAGAGATACAAATAAAGGAACAAATGCTGCTGTTCATTCAGAGCCTTATGTCAGTATATTCCTAGTCCTTTGCCTGTTTGCTAAAGATAATGCCTAGCACATATATTAGATGCTCAATAAACATTTGTGAAATGAACAAAGCCAAAGTTATCTTCCTGAATAATGGTATATGAGCTGTAGTACAATCAATAGTCTTTAGGAGAGAAAGTAAAATTTTTATGCATCTGTAAAAGATGAAGAAACCGAGCCCCCCCACCCCACGAAGTAATATGCTGAAAACTACACAATTTTGTTATGAAGGTTTTTCCCTGGGATTTGGGGGTTTTCTTTTTTAACCACAAAACTCGTGTTTCTTTTTGCTCTTCGTTTCCAATTTGACTACTCCAACTACCTCATTTTGAAAGAATTTAAACTCTAATTCTTGATTTTTTCATACATAATAAACCAATTAGATAAGATGATTTTTTAAGTCTGAAGTTACATGGTTTTATGATTACATGTCTTTTCAGCAACTCAAGAATATTCCTTTTAAATAAATTTGTAGTTCATTGCTGAGGGTATTTTTTAATTTTGCTTCTTTGTAAATCACACTCATTGAAAAACACTTCATTCTTTGTTTTTTTCCCTAACAAGTATACATTTTTAAGAGTGTGTAGTGTGTGTATTTCTGGTTATAGGAAGGAAACGCAAAAGGATGAAAATATTACACATCAAATGTACAATAGAAAAGGGAAAAAGTATGAAGCCTTTAAAGTATTTTCCTATTTTCTAACCACTAAAAATCCTAAAGTTGTTTGAAACTACCATTCTGTAAAATTTTTTTGCCTTGTTGCATATGTTCAAAATATGTTTTCATGTGTTAAGAAAATTGGAAAGTGGCTTACAGATGGCCAAATTATAGATTGCCAGTAATGTCTAGTAAAAATAAAGATGCTACTAACATAATTTTAAAAAGTACCCAGCAACAAACTACAAGTTTCATCAAAGAGAATTGGAGTTGCCAAACAGTTAAAAAAGTGACATCGGAGACAGTGATGTATTTGGGCAGGATTTTTTGTAGGAAGGATGGCACTGTGGATGCTGCTAATAAGGTCATTGGGTTAATTCTAGGAAGTTTGAACAGGACACATTTAACCAAAAGTGGTTTTGCTGTGCTGATTCCATTGGTTGGAGACCTTTATGACAGATGGGGCTTAGAGTTCAGAAACAAGGTAACGGAGAGGTAAGCATGTCAGGGGCTTTAGTGCTGGAACTAGAACGACAATCACAAAATCGTTAAGAGAAATTTTATGAACTAGGAATTAAAAGAAATTGTAAAATGAGCCATAATTTTAATTCTAAAAGCAGCCTTAAACTATGACGAGAATTTAGGACTAAGAAAAAGTTGGTTTGAAATATTATCAGTGTTTTCTCTTAAATGTTCTTTCAATTTTGTAAACATTTATTGAGCACTTACCATGTACTGGGTATTTTAACAGACAAAGTATCTTTTTAGCTTCCTAGGCTCTTCTCTTTTTGTTTTAATATATAAAGTAATGTCTACTGTTTGTTTAATAAAGGGTTTATTTTATTAGAAATTGCTTCTCTGTGATTTCTTCTCGATGCCCTCGTTACCACTTTAACTGTGGTCATCTTTTAGGGTCTAATCTGGTTGGGTTGGAGCAGCGCTGCTGAAAGAGGAATGATCCTTGGTAAACAGCCTGGCAGTTTCAGACAGAGGGAAAAAACACACGGAAACCTTTTGTCACATATGGAACACTTCGCCAATTTTATGCACGTAATGCACATTTTATATATTTTAATGTAAGACGACTTTTACAAAAACTCAGTGTTCTGTTGTTACCGTGTGATCATTAGGTGCGTATGTAACACAAGGACCGTGTTGGTTAGGTTAGTTCAGCCAACACGACGTTCCTCTGTTCATCTTCAGTAATGGACTTGCCTATTGATTTTAATGTCGGCTACAGCAAATTTGTTTTTTTGTGGTTCATGAAAATAGTAACAAATGCCACCATTAATTAAATGCCTTAATGTAAATAGTGGGGAAAAAAACCTCAATTTGAATGCAGAATTAGAATGCGTCTGTGCTATGCAGTTGATTCAGAGTGTGATGTTTTCAACAAATCAGTTGGGTTATGTAAGGAAGTCGGCCTTCGATCTACCACTAGGTAGTAGCACATGGTCTGTCAGTATTTGCATGTCACTGTCAAAATCGTCACACCTGGTATATGAATTTAGTTAAGTAGTTTTATTTTTCTTGAACAACCCTAAAATATGTAATACATCTTAGTTTAAAATCTGTCATGCAAGGTGGAGAAGGGTCCAAAATTACAGGCATCATGCAGACTTGCACTCCTTAAAGTAAATCAAGTGTGAAACACGGCTGCCAGTTTCTGTCCCAGATTACTGGCACACACACAGCGCACTGAGCCCTTGATGACAGGAAGCCGCCTCCCTTAGCCTCAGTTACTGGGGCCCCTGCCTGAGATCAATTACTTGGACATGAAGACATTTTAACATTTTCGATGATTCTTGACAATAAGATCTTGATGATCTTAATGATTATGTCCATTTTTCTGTTTGTATTTTCTGTGTTGGGTCATTGGATGTAGTCCTCAGACATAACGCATGCTAGCCTCTAACAGCTATGAAGCAACCTGTTTGTTACATGTGTGTCTGAATTTGTAGACTAGGTTCAAATATTAAATAAATCTGTAACAAAATAATAAACACTATTGCCAAGAAGCTTGTACCAACAGTCTCAACAAATTTTGATTAGAAAACTAAGTTATTAGAAAAGTTCTAAGAAAGTTGCATACTTGAGTAACAGCACAGAAGAGCAGTTCCTATTTTGTACACTCTGGAGGATATTTTTTTAAGCTATGAGAGAAAGTTTACTTAGAGGCAGCCACAGAGGTAGAAGAAGTGAGCCGTAGAAGAAATGGGCTCAGGAAAGGCATTGCAGAAGCAAAGGAAGAGGGAGGGAAGGAGGGAGGTACGCTGCGGGTGTGCTCTGGATAAAGCACAGCACCGGGTCCCGGTCTTAAGGGCTTTTATGTGGGGGTCTCAGTGGACTACATCAGCATTCCAGGTGTGCCCCTCAGGGTTGTGGTGTCCACAGCCAGGTTGTCACCAGGGAAGAGAGGGTCACTAGTCAGTGCAGCTGGGTCTGAGGCAGCCATGGGTTGCTCTGACTGGTTTTACTGCTTCTCTAGGCCTGAAGCTGAAACATAGCTGAGACCTAGGTGTCACCTCCAGGGGTTAATGCCTAAGGAAGTGGTCGTTTAAGGCCTTTGCCCTTTGCTAGATACTTGGGGCTCTCCACCCTGGGGACCCTCTCTCTGCACCAAGCCTATTGTCCCTAATCATGCCTATCTCAGCTCTTGCCTATCTACCTGCTACATCCCCACCCTCCCACCCCCCTCAAGGATCTTGGCTCTGAATTTTCTAAGGGAAAGAAATGTAGGGTCTCTTCTGTAGCTACTTCCTGCAGATGGAAGGGTCATCAAAGGTCAGTAGTCCCCGAGTATGAATAGGGTTTGGTAACCTGTTAGAGGCAACTTGTATTATAAATCTTCATGTTATTGGAGCAAAAACTAGAACAACAAAGAATTATGGTGGACAGTGCTAGAGGATATTTTGTAGACAAAACCATTGATGTACAGTGTCTAAATCATTATTTGGCATAAATGACTGAGAAGGCCTTGAATATAAAACACAGATTACATGAGGAAATAAGTTTTGGTGAGGACTAGACAGGATGTGTTAATCTTTAATGATGGATCAGCAGTTCGGGGGCAGAAATGAAGGTGGTTGTTAGGTAAATAAGAGGCTTATACAAAAAAGTCGTTAACTCATCCCATTCGTAAAAGAGCAGTTACTTGTTCAACAAGAAACCATGAAGACACTGTTTCAGTGTTGAAGGGAATAGAAATACAATTAAATTTTACCCCTTGTGTCTACACTATTTTTTATAACGGCGCTGTATGGAACACTGGTCAGGAAGTTTCAAAGCTGTTTTTTAATCCAGTTCTGCCTCTTCAGAGAAAAGGGGTTCATAGGAGGTTTTGAAATAAAAGCAGATTAAAACAATTTTTGGTGACATTGTTAATTTAGTAAAGGGCTTTCCCTTGATGTGAGGTGTCTAGCTCATGGCGTCTCAACCAGTCTTTCTACTGTTGTGAAGAGACGTCCCTGCCTCCAGGTCCATAATGTGAACTGTAGTGACAGGCAGTTGAGATGATTTTAAGATTACACAAAATTTTGTGCAAATGGCTCAGTTTTACAGAGCTTCAATCCCCAGTACCTCCCCCAACCTCATTTTCTTGGTTTACCGCTGACACAATATATTTGGGTACTTATTTAAAACCACATCCAAATACTGCAACATAATATGAAAGAATACTCTCCTAAACTGAGTGCAAAAGACAGATTGGGAATCCATTTAACACCATCTGCAGGGAGATTTTCCTTTTGGTGATTCAAGGTAAGAAGATCATTGTGAAAGTATATGACTGAAGAATATTATATGTGGAACAATAAGAAAAACAAGAAGTTATATAAGTCACATGCCTATTTTTAGAATACCAGTGATAAACTTCCTCTTTCAATATGAACATAGTACTATAGAACAAAATTATGGGAAGACATAACTGCTTATACTTACATATCATTTTTAAGAGAGGTTCAACAAGTTGTACACTAAATGCTTATTCTGACCTGACTTTATATACTTTTTTTCTTAAAGCAATAATCATCTTCCCATGTGAGTATTTCAACTGAAAATATCACCTGCATATTTTTGTTTGTTTGTTTATTTTGTTTTTAAACAAGCATTCATTGCTCTTATTTTCCGTCCTTTTATAATCCTGGTATTTTGGCAATTTGTCAGAGATCACTTCACTCCATACTTTTTCTTTCCACCCAAATTAAGGCTTAGTTTGAAACATTTTCAGTACTGGAATGAAAAATACTTTTTAAAAAAAGCTATTTTCTTTTCACATTTTATGAATTACAATGACTAATGACATGCCACTTATCAATAGTCTTTCCTTCAGAAGTATGTGGAGCGTGGACCTGGCAATATATTGGAGGGAGGGGAGAGTCTCAGTAATTTTTATGTTCCTTGTTATTTCCTAACCCAAATCAAGCTTCTATTCATTATCATAATTAGTAAACACATAAATATGTCATACTTCTGTACTTATATACAAATGGCTGGCTGTGATCCTTCTTCATTTTATAGGCTGGTCTTTATCTTTTTAAATTTTTTGAATTGTTATTCTATTAGAATTGTCTCAGTTTGTCCCCCTTTGCCCTCCTCTGCCTCCGCCCCCCCACTCTCACCGCCAATTCCCACACAGTCGTCCACCTCCTATAGGCTAGTCTTTGTAAGGCTGGCATTTCAGAAGCTCTTGGACCTGCGCACCAGGGAAAGTTTCAAGTTGTTCACAAGCACTTTTTTAAAAAAAGGTTTTATTTATTTAGAGAGAGGGAAAGGGAGGGATAAAGAGAGGGAAACATCAGTGTGCAACAGCAGTATCGACTGCTTGCCTCGGGCACGCCCCCAACTGGGGACTTGGCCCACAACCCAGAAATGTGCCCTGATTGGGAATCAAACTGGTGGTGACCTTTAAGTCTGCAGGCCAGAGCTCAATCCCCTGAGCCACACCAGCCAGGGCTCACAAGTAGCTTAAAAATACTCATCCCAGTCACTAGACTTTGCATAGTGATGTATTTAACTCTTACTCATAATAAAGGTAGCATGCCAATAAACAAGTTCTCAAGATACATAAAGGTATAGTGAGTAGTATAAGTACATACCACTCTTGAATAAGCAATAGCTAATTTTTAAAGACTAAGTGAACTTGATTCTAAAAGCTTTTAGGAGCTGCACAGAACTTTGTAGGTAAATGAAAAAATACATTCCATTTTCTAAGGTATGTGTGCATTAATGGATAGGTTTATTTTGATCCACAAAATAATTTTCTGAGAATCTTAATAAAATGTTTGTCTTTACAAGTTCTGTTTTACAATACCTATTTTAAAATATTAAATTTTAATTCCTTTTAAACATGTTTATTTGGTTACATATTGCTAGACACAAATTTGTGAGGGCCCAAGTACTGTAACATACTGTTGCAAAACTACCTGGTGTTTCTTTCCCTATTGCATTTTTTTCTTTCAAAATTAAGAAGGAGTCAGAAGATTTTATCCTCCTCTTGTCTGAAACCCAAATGCTGCAGCTGATTATTTTGAAGCAGCGAAGTTTGCAATAGCATCTTAAAGTAGAATGTGGAATTTTAGTGACATCTGGTGGCCAAGACTTTTCTCTGAGTTTTCCAAGTTTATGTAATGGAATTGGCTTAGTAATAATAGTGGACTTCCAGCTGGAAAACACGAACTTCTAAGGGTACCTGAAGAGTTTGGAAAATTTAAGTTGGTATAAAGGCTTTTAAGGTAATCAATTTCCTTATCCCTAATCTCCTGCCCTCTCCCTAAACGATCTTGAATATACTCAACCTTGCTTTTATAGTTACCATTCTCCCATTTTACACAAGAAAGATTTATTTCTCTCTCACCTTCTCAGCCTCACTGTGGTGCATTGCATGGTAATAGCAAAATCCTTTTGGTTATTGGAGTTGGAACAGTGAAAAGGAATCACTGCAGTAGTGTCCAGCAAAAGTTTTTCAAGTGGCTGCTAAGCTTTAAAATTACTCTGTTTCTACAAAATTAAAAAAATTATAGTTTCATTTGATAGATCACTTACTAAAAATAAATCTTGGCCATAAATCATCATCTGATTTTTTTCTTTTGATGTAAAATTACTGTACACTATAATGTATGAATGTTACTTAGGAATATGTTAAAATATTGGATGACATTATTTCATTTCTCTTATTAAATATAAGTGTGATTTTTCATGTTTATATCAAAAAATGAATACGATTGATGAACTCTGACTTATACAAGCAATAAATTCATCTAATTAAATTATAATTTTAGTAAAATGTGTGAATTAATTATATTGTTTAGATGACTTATATAATACTAAAAATTATAACTCAATCCAGAAGAAAATTTTAGCACTTAAAACATAGAGTTTTTTATTTTTAGTTTTGAAATTTTTTCTACATAGAAGTATTGTGGTTAATAAGTCTTTTAAGCATAAAGTATATCACATTGGAATAAAACCTGTGGGAGAACCAGAATAAAATTAGAAATTAAAGTAATACAACTAAAATTTCTAATTATAAAGAGGAACTTCTTTATAAATATTTCAATAAATATTTGTGAGTGGAGAACTCAGTGAAGATGGATACATTTTAAAGAGTTATTTAATACTTTTGTTTTAGAAAATGGAAATTACTTTTTTCAACAACTTAGTAATGTAATGGAATATTTCAAATGTTAACTCAAAACGTGGGAGGGGATCAAGTTTTCAGCATTCTTCTAGAGGACAAGCAAGCAGACGAGTTTGAAGAGCAGGACTGGATGGCATTAGATCCGACCTTCAGTTCACTGGCTCAGAAGGATAAGGTTGGGGAGGAAAACCACTCGCACTCCTGCTTCAGGTGCGTGGTGGTGTTCTCTGAAAGTACAATGAAGACAAACCCTGAGTACTTAATAGAACATTCCAAATCAAAACCATATTCCCAGATCTCGGGAGCTATGGTTATTATAGCATAAACTAGAAATGAAAACAAAAATTTCTGAGAAGTTTTTTCTTTTTCAGATTAGAATCAAATTTTTCTGATTTGTCATATTGTAAGGTTTTTATCAATTATAAGCTACATGATGAATTCGATTACTTTTTTGTGCTAACAATTAGCATTGTGTTCAATAGATATATAAAGAAAAAAATTCTATATTGGAAATGTTAGGTTTGTGTGAAGGTGGGGGGTGGGGAAATATATTAAAATTGAAGAAATAAGCTGCAACAACAGGTTTTTACGTAACAGGTTTTGATTTTTTTAATGTGGTAATGTTGGATGTAATGTGCTGACATGAACATCCTTAGTAACAGCAAACAGCAACTGCCGGCTTTATGGTTACACATAGTTATAAAATATGGTTAATATTTTTATATAAACAGAAGAAAATTTAATAAGGAAAAACCAGCACAGTTAATTCTAACAGCCTGGAAACATTTACAGAGTGAACTAAAAATAAAGAGCAAGACTTAGATTCATGGAGAACAGAGAGGTTGGTGGACTATGGTCCAAGAGCCAGAGCCTGTTCAACATCTGTTTTTCTAGTACACCTCGAGCTAAGAATGGTTTTAATGTTTTTAAGTGGTTGAAAAAATTAAAAAAAAAACATTTGGCAACAGGCAAGTTATATGAAATTCAAATTTTATTGGAGCATATCTATGCTCGTTCATTTATTGTTGGTCTGTTTTTGCTCTACAGGGCAGAACTGAGTAGTTGTGGCCAAGATTGTATAGTTTGCAAAGCCTAAAATATTGGTTATCTGATCTTTAACACTCATCTCTGATGCAAAGGAGCAACCTCACAGGCAGGATTTGTGACGTGCACAAAGGCACTGCGGTGGTAGTGCTGCAGCGTGATGGAAGAAGGACGAGTAATAGAAGAAAAGTCAGTAGACTAGAGGTGGGTTAGGGCCACCTTTGGAGACTTTACATTAGACATTGAGATGCCTTAGCAATTTTCTGGACCAGGGAATGCTTGTCATAATACTCTTAGAAAGATTAACTTAGCAGCAGAGTGTAAAGTAGATTAGAACACAGTATTAACGACTGAGATAGAGAAGTTAAACGGTTATAACAGTGGTATAAATATGAGACAGAATATATCTGGGGCTCGGTGGTGTTAGAAATGAAAACATAAAAAATTAATATTTATTAGTAAATAATAGCAATATGATCTATAAGATCTTTTGAAATTAATTAACCAATTACTAAATTCTCTTTTGAGTTCAATATTAACTTACTCATCTATTAAATTATGTATTCATTATGAATTTATTCTGTGCTTATTATGTTATAAGTACTAGTCTTGGTGGTAAATAAAAGAGCAGTGAACAAAAGAGACTAAAAATTTGCATACCTCATTGAGACTACATTCTAGTAGGATAAGAAAAGAAATGGACATGTAAAATATAGCATAGTCCAGGTGATGGTGAGTGCTATTGGCAAACAACAGCAGTCAAGAGGGTTAGGTTGTGAAGGAGAGGTCGTGTTTTATATAGAATGGGGAGGGAAAACTTCCCTAAGAAGTTTAGGTAGAGAGTAGAGAGTGGTACAAAAGTGAATCATGTGGCCATTCCAGCAGAGGAAATACCAAGCACACAAGCCCGGAGTTGAGTGTGGTTACAGGTGTGAGGAACATCAAGGAGACCAATGGCCAGAATGAATCAGTGAGCAAGAGATAGACTAATGGGAAATGAGAAGTAGTGAGGGGCACAAAGCCACAGCCTTACAGATCATCATAAGAACTTTGGCTTGTACCCTACATATGTGAAGCCACTGAAGGATTTGTGAACATAGAAGTAGTATGGTCTTATTTT